GTGATGGAAACCATGTTCCAGGAAAAAGAGCGCGAGTCTTGTTGAAATATCCTGCCACATGACAATGATTTCATTCAAGTCTGTGTCACAGGGTACCGGATCCTTTGAGGACGACATGATGTTGTGATCTCACACATGGACAGGCGGTTCGCGCTCGAGTGATTGACGCAAGCACAAACAAACCTCCCGCATATGGTGGGGAAGCCAGAAAAAATTTGACGATCGATCTGCGAGGAAATAAGATGTGATGGTCCTTAAGGTAAAATGTTCCAGGTGGGAAGATGAGCGGTGCATGATACTTAAGTGGTTTCTTGACTGGCGCCACAATCATGTCTCACCTTAGGCCGAGTACAAATGCCTAACTAGTTACTTAGGTACCTGTACTTCCGACCCCGCTCCCACCATTTCTCAAGTTGTTTTTGTTCCTCTACGGTAGGCGGCAGCCTTAAAAGCAATGCATCCCACAGATTGTGAACTCCAATGGGCGCCGACCGCCCTCCTTTTCTGTGTGACTGTCAAGATCATCGGACCCCAACTGCTCCCCGGTCATCCCATCACCCCGTGTACGCATCTCATCTCATTGCTATTTTTTCTTCATGCCTTGGCCTCACGTCTATCCCATTCATCTTCAGAGACAAGGTCAAAGCAAGCAGCAAAACAAATCTTTCTCCGTTGTGTGTCAATCCCTCGTCTCACTTTCCCCGGCACGAGAAGACTCATGTGGCAATTGAATCTGGTTAACTCTGTGGTTGCGGCGTTTGTGACGCTTAGCAGAGACGCTGACTTCGCTCAATTGGGAGACCAAGGTCTAATCTTGATTCGAGATGCCCAGCGCTGCTACATCCACCTTTCAATTATTCGGCGGGCTGTTTACATTTTGGTTGTCCTTCGGGAGCCCACCCTCAGTGTCCAGGTCGAAATAGTGAACCAATTATTGATCGCTCTTGAGAGCCGCCTTTGGACGGAGGACAGAGGACATCGGCTTTCAAAGGACTGCACGGTATTATTTTCTTCAATGCATAAAACCGCCTATAAATTTGCAACCTCTAATTTTACCATTACAGTCGAGGCTCCCTGAGCTTGCTTCACTAGCAAGGCTTAAGGCCTTCGCAGCTAGTCTAGAACAAGAATCAGACAATGAGAGGACGTGGTATTTCGGGCCTCTTGCGCAAAGTAACTTCCGCATATTCCGAATTGAGGAAATACATCAGGAAGTAGAAAGATCATGGTTCACACATCGAGTCATAGCTGCAGCTGAGCATCTCTCGACAGCCATCCAAACGAGCAAGAAAACTCATCCCATCCTGGCGTACCTGACCCCCAAAACTGAGACAGAGAATTTGGCGAGTCAAGTGTACGAATCTTTGGAGAAACACTGGAGATGCAATTGCTTTTGGAGGGGTCGGACCGAAGAAATCTCAAGAGAAGCAAGAGTCAGCTTAATCAGATTTCCTGATTTAGATCAAGGGAGCTCTTCAGCCGAAGAAGCGTCGGAAGCGCCATGGCCATCTAGCTTTGAGATTCTTCTCCCTATCTGCCAGTCTAGAACGCCTGAGAGTAGATCAGTCTCTAGGCTTCTGCCTTTCTTCCGAACCTGTTGCTTTGCTTCACATAGGATAACTTCAAAAGAAGTCGAAACTACGCGCTGGAAGGTGACAAATGTGCACATAGGTACGCAAGATGGTCCAAGGTAAGCCCCATTGAAAAGAGCTTGACTCGGTGGCTTCATTTCTCATCTGACGATATATTTGAACTTTCACTAGTCCAGGATCCATTCACACTGCGCGCTGGCTAAATCAGAAAGATGTTTGTCAGCGCATAGCAGAAAGTCATGACTTTCAGCTCAACCTTGCCGTGGAGAAAAATGAACTTTGGCAATTGGGTCAAGTTCTCACAGAGGACGACGATCATTATACCAATATGAAGTCCCTCTACGATATTTTAGGAGGGAACACAACGGCTTTCATACTGGGTCGCCAAGACCAGCTTTTGATGTTCTTGGTACTTTCCAACTCTTTACTCGAATTCTATTCGAGCCCGTGGGCCCAATCGGTTTGGAGTAGCGATAAGATCTACTTCCGTTCAAAGGAGTATGGGCCAGGAAAGCAGCCAGTATCGGCATTTCCATATCTGTCTGTCAATATTCACGCAGTGAAAGGACCATCTAGCTCTGTGTGGCACGAAGGAGTCTGTAAGCTTTACACGATTCCAAAGCTCGTAGAGCTCAGCATGATATTCATCGAAATCCTCACCAGAAAGAGGTTTTCCCATGGTTTGACAGGCTCTATCAGAGGCGGCGGAAAGAGCTACGAGTCTTGCATTCCAAGAATTTGGCAGACATTCAAGGACAACCGCGACAGCATGTCTCCGGCTATGGAGAAGGCGATCTCTGCTTGCATCAAGCTAGAAATACCTTTCAACTTCCCAGGAAACGACCTACGGAAAGGGGATCTCTTCAGGTTGTACACCAAAACTTTTGTGATGGATCCACTGATAGAGGAACTCCGGGCCGATCACGGCGTTACCTGGGACAGATTCCTTCATTCCTCAACTTCCAGGCCGAAATCGACTCTTTCCCGCGATCATGAGCTCCCTAGGCAGTTTGTGGATGCGGAAGAGGCCGGTTCACAGGACAAAAGCCCTCAGCAGAGCAACCATTGCATCCTTGCAGGAACCATTTCGGAGAAGAGTCCGTTTTCCAGCGCGAAGTAAGTTGAGAAGGCCAGCGCCTCAATCGAAAGACTTCTATTGGTCTAATGTAATTACTCACTGACTTTCTGAACGTAGGAGCCATAGGGCAGCAGACTGGATCAAACGACACGAAATAGCTTTTGCTCAGGCGAACAAACTGTCCAAGCACGTACCTGACATGTATCAGAAGTCTTGCCAGAGGAAGATCAAGATTGCTGTTTTGGATAGTGGACTCGAACTGAGTCAAATGGAAAGAAAGTCCTTCAGGTGTGCAGGGTATCGTAGCTTCGTCGACAAGGACCAGGGCCGCGAAGAGGATGACGTGGGTCACGGAACCCACGTGGCAACTCTTCTTCGCCGAATCGCACCAGATGCCCAGATTTTCGTAGCAAGGATATACCGAAATGAACCAACTCATGATGAATCCGCAAAAGCAATAGCTGATGTAAGTTTCCACGGATTCTCCAATTCATCAACGCACTAGCATCATGGCAGACATGGCACCTTACATGTATTGATTACCACTAAACTCGTCACAGGCAATCAAATGGGCTATTGATGATTGTTCCGTGGACATCATTGTGATGTCATTTGGATTTATGGAAACGGTCCAAATCATATTTGACCAGATACGCCGTGCGGTCTTTCAGGATGTCCTTATCTTTGCTGCAGCCTCAAATGATGGAAAAAATCGCACAGATGGAATTGCATGGCCCGCCAGAGAAGAGGGTGTCTTTTGCATACACTCAGGGGATGGCATGGGAAACCCATCCAGGTTCACACCCAACCCGGCGGAGAACATGAGAATCATGGTTCTTGGCGAGTGTGTTCAGTCGACTTGGCCAAAGAGGTTGATAGCACCCAACAGCAAGAACGTTATGCATATGAGTGGCACGTCTTGCGCAGCTCCTATAGCAGCCGGTATAGCAGCAATGATACTTCATCATGCTGCGCTTCTTCTAAACGAAGCCGAATGGCTAAGATTGCGCAGGATTGGTCCCATACGACGGATGTTCCAAGACCTCGGCACATCGGTCACAGGATACTGGTGGATCAAGCACTGGACGGTGTTCGAGATACCTAGCAACGGTCCAGAGGGTTCCTTCTCCGTGTCGGATGCAGAGCTACAAGAGAAGAATTTTAATATCAGGGGTTGCATTAGGAAGTGGGTAAGTGGTGGTTAAGATCATGGCCTGGGAATCATATCTGAGTTCACACTCAGAGGCTTCCGCAAATGACCGGAATTTATCTTAATAGCCCTAAGTTGTTGAAACCATCGTGGATAACAACCTTGCGTCCTACGTACCAAAACATTACATGTACGAATCCATCTATCTGTTATTGCAGACACAATCACTATTGAAGTACCAATATACGTGTGAATATGTTGGTGTGTGGAATTGCATCACTGCTGTTGCAACATCTTCATTTACTTTACACCCACTCCCACGTATCTACTTCAAGGGGCAGAAGAAGCAAACATAAGGAACGTCTACCAAGGGGACACGGAGGAGTAGCTGAAGTCCGATGAATTTCCTGTTCCACAACAAGCGTAATCTTCCCCGCATCACTGAGACATGGAACGCCGAGCTGAACTATAGCTTTACACGCCAAGGCTACCTCCGCCTAGCTTTGGCAAATCAAGTGTGCCGGCTTAAACCATTGGATGCTCCCTACTTGAAGTACAGGATACCTCAACAAGACATCAAAGACCTTTGGAATACAAAGCTGAGGCCCTTGAGATTGATGCGTCGAATGGCACTATCTAGGTGCGTTACGCAATTTTGCTTGTTATGTGGCATCTTGGGTGTCTTCCAGCCGTCCAATCGAGTGTTGAACGGACCACATCAGCAAATGAGAGGCCAGACATCATGAACGCGTATCGATCAAATCAGCCAACGCTAGCCCAGCCCGGCCTGTGCATCCTGCAGTTCCATCAACCCGATAGCCCGCAGTGCCTGAAATACTTAGCATAAGCCTTGGCTGGTTTCTTGTCTCATCATTTGTTGAACGATTGGATAATCTTGCCTTGAAGCATTAACGATTTTGGTGGGCTGATGTTGGCGGGCACGCGGCAGGGGGTAATGAGGACATTGAATCTTACTGGGTTGGCATGGTGGCACACCATGAACCAATAGCGACCATCAACAAGTGTGTGCTTCATAGCCGCAAATTACTACTTATTGCAACAACTCCTAGGAATGCGAATCCACCTTGTGAGTTCGACATTGTCAGATACCTTTAGAAGTCTTGTTCAAGACATCTCTTCATTAAACATTTAGGACTTGGAGTTCGAGTATCCACTCAATATGACCAAGTACTATTTTCACGCCCCGAACTTCGATTCGAATCCTGAAAGCGACAGTGCACCCCAGCTTGGAAGCATTCTCGCTAACTTTAATGACTTTGATCCCATTCTGAATAAAAACAATGTTCAGTACATCCCCGAGTCCTCCCAGAACATGAGCGCATGCCACAACTTCACAGACACCGACAACCGAGCCACCGAAGCAGGAGTTGGTTTATCGGCCACGGCTGCTGAAGGACTTCTAGGTGCAGCGGACGTTATCTACTCCTTTCTCTCAAACAAGAAAGTCGTCTATGAGTGTGAAACGTTGACGACGACTGAATTCTCCCCCGACACGGACTTTATTCATGACAGCATCATGGCATCGCTAAATGTCCAAGAGTTCATCGATTCCTCCGTCTTCGGCAATAAGAAGGTCTACATGGTCACTGGCCTCAAAATTGCAACTGGTTTCAGCAGTTCTACTAAGACTGGGACACAGCACCGCCCCTGTCTCAAGATCAGCGGCAGTGGAGCTGCTTTGGGTGTACCTGTAGAAGGAGGACCATCCATCAACTTCGCGATTAGTCGCGATCGGATCACTGGAATTGGAAAAACTGCAAACAAGATTATATTTGCCTATAAGGTAGTCTGTATCAAGATGAAGTCGGACGGGGAGATTGATTACAGCTACAAGCGAGGTGGAAAATACAGTGTGGATGGCCGCAATGACGAAGATCAGGCCGCTCCGGCTGAATGGGAAGTTGACGATGTTGATGAAAGCTGGTTGGGAGGCCTTGACTACGATATCATCCAAGTGGATCAAGTGGATCAAGTGGCTTGAAAAGTGCATTGAATCTTCAGCAATTTTTTGAGAGTCGCTGGCTGTTGTAGAATATCTCTCAGCTGGAGGATAAATGGCGATTCTTGAACTATCCCCAGTCGCGGCACAACGGACTGGATATTCGGCTATGTCCTGAACGTCCAAACTCATTTCAAAATAAGCCATTGCCTTGGTGACAAAAGTTCTTCTGTCCTCGAATCTAACTCAAGCTTTCTAGCACTTACCGAGTATCGTCTTCGGCCACATCCAAGTTACCGCCTCCTTGCTCAAAGCCTAGAGATCACGGACGTCGATATGGAAATGTTGAGACCGTTTGACTAATAGCTAATGATAGAGCACCTATTCTCCTTCTGATCTCTCTTTGGTAGTCAAAGGTATTGTAGATTAGAAGATTAATGATAGATGATGTACGTATAGAGCCTACATGGTCAGATTCCTTGACTTTTTAAATTCTCGTGACTGATTCGACGTGTGATGTCTGGGCGCCCGCAGTTGCGTGGAGTCTATGGCCCTTTCATCCGCTGCATTCGCTCTGCTCGCGAATGGCATGAGTCGTCGCTGCGACTGAGAGAGTCAGGCTTTGCCGGTCTGTGATCTGTTACCGAGACCGACCTGAACTAGCGGCTTCACTGAATAGCGGCTCTGTTTTGAATGTCAGCGGAGTGCCTATAAACCGGTACAGATTAAAGTTCAGTGTGGAACAACAGAGTCATGCAGCATGTCGTGACCCGTTCATCCCGTCGGAGTTTTAATCAATTTGATACCATCCGTTGCTCATCTGAAGTTTATCTAGAACTGCCGGGAGATTCGCTGAATTCAATCGAAATACATAAGTAAGCTTGATCGCAGCTCATTCAGCGAAAGAAGACAATTAGAATCATCATCAACAACACCATACATCGAGCCTATCATCTTCGCTTCTAACAAGTCAATATGAAGTTCATTCTCCTCCTCGCTTCCGCTGGAGCCGCCATGGCTTTTGTCGAGTGCCGTACACCGACAACCGCTGAGGTCAGTCCCGATCTGAGACTTGCTAGTCGTACAGTTCTCATAGCTGACCTTCATAGCTCTTCAAAAACTGCCAGACTCAAGAACAGCGGGATGGCTGCAAGGGCCAGTGCATCAAGCACGTGAGTTACTCATTCAGAACTATGCTCGAAAATAGAACTAAACAGCTTCACAGTGTTCAGACACAACAGCAAACTTGGCTGTCTGCATCGAGTAAGTTTACCTCCACCGACTCATTGATGCTATCATCATTCTAACCAGTGTAACAGCAAGGCGAACAACGACTTTGACTGCGTGTGCGGAACACAGGCTGGCAGAGGTCCTGGATTCAGCTGAGATCATGAATGAGTCTCTAAATATCCGTTTTAGTGTGGATCATGCATGGCGTGCGTTGTATTTGAATCAAAAAAGAACCATTTTCTCTAAAGAGCTACCTCACTTCGCCACAACCATCATTGCTTTCTATGAATTGAGACTTCGCCATCAACAAAAGCAATAACTGAGATAGCAACCATTTCTGAAGGGCTATGGTCCATCTGGATATCTTCGGAAATTGCATATTCCCCGAGCCTGAGTCAACAACGCCATCTTAGTACCTTCCTCCCCACAGCTCATTCCCCCATGGGCCTTGACACCCTCTATTTTCAGACTCTGCGCTGCCTTCTTGTTTCGAACTTGCCGGGTGGGACGATAGACCACTTATTGGAGTGGAGGGTCAATTCGACTTCGAGCCCAGGGGGCCGCATAGGCCACTTATGGCCACTGATTAGATCCCAAAAGACTATCTAACCTCGGGTGGGGGGGTCCCTTCTACACCTTACGCAGGATCAATTAATACAGTCAATTGGCCCTTCGTCAACCCACGAATCCATACGGTTCGAACCAGCCACCCTGTCATAGGGACATCAACGCCACTGCCTTATTTACGAGGCTTGAAATGGTTAGGTCAATCGTTGCTTCGGCAGCGGAGATTCTATTCTTTCTCGGCCGGCCAAATCTGTATTCGCCATGGCCGAATGCAGGAATCCCGAATTAAGCCCTTGGAGCTTGTAGGGATTTTTTTTGGTCGTTTAGATTGGACTTGTTTCGTGTGTTAAAGCGGCACACTCGTCATTATAACTGAAGTCCATGTGCAATTGTCACATATCTTGTGATAGGAGCCCTGTACTGGCGCAACGCTTGCTGTTCATACTCGAATACCCACGCTATCGAAAGACTAAACTCCTGTCTCAATGCCGGCTCCAACTTGCAAAACTCGCGCCTCTGAAATTATCTACAGTAGAAATGAATAAAACCAAGCAAGGAACTAGGCCTTGAACTTCTTGAAGTTACGTCCACCATCAGCCAGCGCCGTCATGTTAGTATTGCCAACCTTGATGTACTCCTTCTCCTTCGGGATCGCAGCAATCACTTCGTCGGAGAGGCCAAGGGTATCCTTGACGACCTGTTTCGGGGTGAGAGCCAGCCATTGCGCAACACTGATGTCCGAGAACTTGGGCGCCTGAAGAACCTCTAGGAAGATAACGTCCTCGGTACCAGTGTTCTCGATGTAGTGGCTGTCACCAACCTTCACGTAACCAACATCGCCGGCGGTGAAGTCAAAGGTACGCGAGGCCTCAGGGGCTTCAAAGATGGTGATGCGACCGGAGCCCTGCAAGAAATAGTTCCACTCGTCGCTGGTGGTGTGCCAGTGGATCTCGCGCATGGCGCCAGGCTGAACGACGACCAGGGCAGCCGAGAAGTTCTCCGCAATGGGGAACGTCTGCGGGTCGAGGATCTTGACAGATCCGCCAGGAACTTGAAAGGGCTTTTGTTGCGACCAATGGTAGGTGTATGATTCAGCACCAGTCAGCGATCCTGCTGATGAGGTCTGGTTCTGCTGCTCAATGTCTTTTGGTGCAGGTGTACCATTGAAGATCTGAAATAAGTAAGCCAATGCTCCAACTGTAGCAGGTCGTCCTTTGACTCACATAAAGCTGATCCTTGGGGATCTTGTCGAAAGCAGAAACATCCGTCTTGAGGTTCTTCGAAAGAACAGACAGTGGGTTCCTTAAGAATAACTCAGAAGCGAGGAATGTGTTCTCTTCGCTGAAGCTCCCCTGATCGAAAACGAGAAGGAACTCTGTGCCCTGGTCGAACGCCTGAATGCTGTGAGGGACACCCTTCGGGAAGAACCAGACATCACCTGTGTAGCTTGGTTAGCTTGGTGTGAAACACTCATTAGGTCGAGAGAGACATACCCTCGCACACATCGTCGATGAAGCTCTTTCCATCCTCATTCATCGCTGCAATGCGACAACATCCCTTCAGCATGAGCGCCCACTCAGCCGAGGTGTGCCAGTGAAGCTCGCGGTAAGCGTTAGGCTGCAACTTCATATCGACACCCGCCATCGCAGAAGCGACGGGCAGAACTTTGGTGTTCTGCTGCCGCGCCCATCCGGCACCCTCTTGGCTACCGAGGCGGTTATGCGAAAGGCCCAACGGCCACATGGCGTTCTCGACGTCGCCCTTGTCGGTGCCGGGCGGGGCAAAGAGATCGGGGTTTAGCTTCTCATAGTCGTAGGTTCCTGCGGGAATTATGTGTTAGCGCATTTCTTCCCTGCAATAGATCCTCCCCCTTCAACGCCTCCCCGCTCAAAATGCAACGTACTTGGGCCCGGGTCCGGAGATCCTAGTCCGCCGCGGATCGGTTGCGGGACGTCGACACCATCAAAGTTGAGGTACAGGCCGAGCTTTCCGTCTGCTTCCTGGCCGGGCACGAGTGTAACGTCGTCGACATTGGCGGAGCCGCCAGTTTCGGGATCAGGTCGCGCTGCGTTGCCTCCGAGGAGGCTCGAATCTCCTCTAAGGTTTCCCGTAGGTGCAGTCACGGTAGGGATGGGCGGATCGACACCGCCAACGGGGCCTTTGTTCTCGCCATAGTCTCCCATTCTATTCAATCGTTAGCACAATCTCCTATTCGTCGTGTCCTCGCGGGAGCACTTACTGCGGCGCCGGAATGGCATAGCTCTGCGGCAGAGCCGCAAGCAAGCTAGCGAGGAGAAAAGCACCGTGGGTATACATCGTGTTGGAAAATAGACCGGAAGAAGACGAAGTCAAAAAGATTGTGCTGTAACGAAAGACTGGCTATTCAGTGTCGGTTTCCAAGATGATCTGGAAGCTGATGATTCTGAGATGGAGAACAAGCCACTTACAGACCGGACTGAAGGTCCTTCTTATACCTGGCATTCGCCTTAAGACGAACTTAGAACTTGCCTCCAAAGCCTCCCAAAGTATACAAACGACATATGATGGTTCCCGAGCTAGCTATGCCGTGCCTTGACCATCTGCCAGCCTACTTCCCCTCACCCAATCCATGCTGTCTACTATCACAAGGCGGAGTGGAATTCGGCGGGACCGATTAAGCTCCCAGCCTTGGCGTCCGGACCGCGATATGTGGATGACATGGGGCTAGCCGCGTGGAGCACGAGCAGTACAGTAGAAGCCGGGGGCAACAGTAGTCCAGATGACGCGTTTTTGCTCTTTTCGGTCTATCGCGAACAGTGAGACGGTTAGCACGGAAAAGACAAAGACCCACGCACGGTTGTACGGCACCGGTGTAGACGAACATATTGATCTGATCAACGACTAGCCACATGCTACCCTGAGATTACTCACAACCCCCAAAAAAGCACACAGCGCTCACCACGTTGTCTCACTTAAAACGCTTAAAGCCCACGGAGGCTTCGGGAAGTCCATCGCGCCTCGATCAATTCAGCTGGCCTTACTAGGATCAAAGTTGTTTCGCAGAGTGCAAATGTTCAGCAAAAGGTTAAAAATAAGGCTTGGTGGTGTCGACGCCCCCCGGAGCGCCCCAACGCGGATCATCGAATCTGATAGCGGGAATTCGATAGCGCCCCACGTTGCATTTCCCCCCTATTGCCGAAGACGGCAGTTGATTGTCTGGCTACATGGTGAAGTCACCGCTCTTAGAAATGGTCCGTTCGCGATTCGTCTGAACCGCCGAACCCTCTTGACGTGTGTTCTTTGTGGGTTACCTTAGATTATTCATGCAGTAGAAACGTACTTACCTGGGATGATTAAGGGTGTGACGAACACCTCGGTGAAAAGAAGAAAGCCCCGGTGTCTCGCAGAAAGCTCGGGATTGTCCGCTTACACCAGACTTATTCAAGATTCAAAAGTTCTGGCTCCTTGATGACTTGGCTGCTAGCGTCCTGCCACCGGCCTCTAACCTCACCCGGGCAGAGAAAAAAAGCTTGTAAGAGTTTAGTGACGCGCCAGCCATTTGAATGGCAGAATATGAGCAATCGAAATTACAAATGCCGCAGACTCCTTGGCCGAGTACAAGCATGTGTGCTCAACATGGAACTGGGATGTTTTTTGCTTGCCTTCCTAGGCCTTAGCTCGCTTCCATGCCCTTTACACCTACTAGGTGTCTAGATGCTAAATCGGGCCTGACAGAGTAGGTACCCGAGATATGATTTCACAAAAAAACACAGGATTGCATCATTCTCAGAAGAGGGGAAACTTTGGCTTGTCTTCTGGCAGGTTTGCCAGATGGCCCAAGTCCAAGGTTTAGAAGATGAGACGAATGCAACGTTGTCTGCGCGATGAGCGATGGCAGATACTAAATAAAGCCTGAGCAATATGACAGAACGGCAGCTGAATACAGTCGAAGCTTGTTTGTACCCAACTGGGACGTCACTGCTGGCTGAGTCGTCGGATGTCGCTGTGGTTGGATCATTGTGCGATTTGAGTTGCCGCTTGGTGCGGCGGAAATGCCGCCACAATGCCATCGTGCATGCGTGCCCGCCGTTGGCGCGTGCGGCTTCATCCGATGCAGGTGGCCTTCTTTTCTCCTTCTCTGCCCGCTGCAGATCTGTCTTGGCTCAAAGGGGAGAGCTTCTGTCGCAAGGCTAGCGATCGACCGGGCAGTTGGACTTAAGAGCACCCTTGAGGGTAGCCAAGTCCTCTTAAGCATAGCCATAGCCGTCCATCAGCCAATGCAACGCGCCTGGTCATGGTCTTTAAGAGTGTTTCATCTACAGAAACCATTCATAGAGAAGAGAAAAAACTACTCGAGGGATTATCAGATCCCACCGGCATTAATCTGCTCCCCTACCCCCAAGGCTAAGGAGGGTATTCCCATGGGATCGCAACGTATTCGTACAACGCTGACGCTTTCAGCAGGCCGGTAACTCGATCTGGTGACAGAAAATATGACCACCTCTAATCCAAGAGCATGGTATTATATCTTCTATGAATGCGACCTACTGAATCGCGTGCTCTTGTATCAATCATAGAAAGCACGTAGCCTGTAGGTTGATCGAAGTCCGTGATATGACATCAAAGATCTCCGCATTAGCCCTCCCGTTGACTCAGGCCACCAATAAACTCTACGTGGAGTGGAACAGCTATGTGAGGTATATCACAGCCACGATGCCTGTTGGTCCTGTCAGCGGAAAGATTCTGTCATTGACTCGTCTTAGTGAGCTTGAACTGCGCCATGTCGCAACTTCTTTACTACCAAGACACAATGAACGGGAATCGAACTTTTCATGACGTGAGGATATGAGCAGGTATTAGGTAAAAGCATGCTTGCTGGGTATATGATTACTACATAAGTGGAAAAAAAGGTTTGTTGTGCTAATGGCCTAGATATTCCTTGACCTCGTAGTTCTTCTTTGCATAAAAGAACCACAATGATATCGTAATAATGGCAATGCCCGCAAGCACAGCCGAAGCATAATTCATTTGATCTGCAACAGCAGGTAGATAATAGGGGAAACAGTAAAATATCAGTGCAACCGCCGACCATGCAAGCATGACTATGTTCGCAGCAAAGCCAAGCTTAGGATACCAAAAGGGGCCGTGTTTGAAATTCGAGCGGCCTTGGGAAAGTGCCAGGACAACCGGGATACTGTAGCTGATGTATTGAAGGAGCAATCCTGTGGATATGAGGGAGTTGAAAGCGAGGTCGGATGCGAGGTAAAGGCAGCCAAAGACTGCAGTGCCTGATGCGGAGAAGATCAATGACCAGGTAGGCGTATGAAGCGGGGAGGGTGCAATCTTGCTCAGGTGACGGTGCATGGGGAAACCGGCCTCGCGGCTGATGGTCCACGCGAGTCGGGACTGCCAGGTCTGAATAGACCAGACGGCGCCGATTGTTGTGATCATCACGGGGACCCAGAGACCTACTGAAGCAGCCTTGCTGCCTGTGATGCGGTAGAACAAGGCCAGGGCCGAGTTGTCATCAGCTCCGTCAATGACAGGAACGTTGATGAGAACAGACGTGACAACGAGGAGTCCGGAGACGAGGCCAACGACGATGGTCCACATCAGTGCCTTTGGAATATCCGTGCTGGGGCGGGGCATCTCCTCTGCCAGGTGAGTCGCGACGTCAAGGCAGGAGAAGCTCCAGTTGGCGCCGTTCATCCCGATGATGAAGGCGATGCCGTTTTGCCAGCCCGAGATGTTTACCGTGGTAGCAAAGAAATTCTTTGCTGAGGCGTGCTCGTCTGACATGGCGAAGAGAGTTATGAAGATAACGACGATGGTTGTGCAGCTGAACAGCAACATGACCTTGGAAATCTTTGGTAGGAGACTCTCGAAACTCGCGCCGAAAACGGTGACGATGTTGAGGAGTTGAAAACCTAGAAATCCCATCCACCGCTTGTAGACAAAACTTGGGTCGAGAAGCGTGATGATAGAGCAGATGCCGACGGGGACGGAGAGACACGCCGACGAGCCCGTGGCGACGGCAGCAAGCCAGCTGATGACGGCCGTGATGTACGACAAGAACCGGCGAGAACTCGGCGGCGCCAGTCGGTGGACCCAGATATACTGCCCACCCGGGTGCGGCATAGCCGAAGCTAGCTCCGCAAGAGTCGTGGCCGTTGCGAGGCCGACAAAGGCCATGATAAGAAAACCCCAGAAGAAGAGTGGCGAGCCGCCCATGGGCAGGGTGCTGCCGAATACTAACAGTAGGCCGATGGCCGTGTTTGTGGTTCCGTAGCCAATTCCAAGGGCGGACAGAGTTGTGAATGGCTTCATGGTTTGCACGGTGACGTCTCCGTGAATGATGGAGCCGTGCTCCGTGGCTTCGTTGTCCGCTTTTTCGGGCATGGCGGCGACGGCGTTTCGAGTTGTGGCCGCTGAGGCCTTGTCGAGTGAGGAGGATCGCTGATCCATTGTGATATTGCTGGCTGAAGTGTTCGCCAAGGGCGAGAGGTCTCATCCAAGATGACCGACTCTGTGAATATATGCGTGGAGTGTCGAGGAGAGAGGGGCTTGAAGGGAGATGGCCTCCCTCAAGTCTTGGGGGTGGAGTATCGAGGGACCAAGTTAAGTAGACGCACCTTTCTTGTGCATGCTTGTGTGACCAACTTGATGCAACTAGATGGCAGCACGAGACCCGCGTTGACCGACACGGGGCAGTTCGATAAGCCGAGATACCATCTCGTCCGCAGAAGACAGCTTGAAGATAACATATCCCGGACTTGTTTCTTGGGGTTTCCGCACTATCGGCTCGCATTTCGCACGCAGTTGCCCAATCCGGCAAGCCAGAGCGGGCCCCTATCCGCTCCCGGTGCCCCGCATCCCGACCCCCTCATTCGCCGACACCGGCAGAGATCGCGGGTGAGCCGCAGCGGGATGATGATTGTAGTAATGGACACGATCATATGGTTCGTTTGAATCATTACCGAGGTCAGTGTGGATGAGGCTTGCGCCCTGAGAGCTCAGAATCTGTGTTCATTGTCAATTTTCTCAGGAAGCTCTGGATCAACGACCAGTATCACCCCTCCAGTCCTTACGACGGTGCCATCAACTTACATCAAATCTCACCAAACTATCGAAATGGGGGGTGAAGATGAGCTCTCTTCTTACCTCAGTGAGTAATCAAAAACAAATCTCAAAGGCGTACTTTCCTGACCAACGATTCAAGATCCCGAAACAACCAGGTTTCTCCTGAACGTTTCCAAAGCCATCTCCCAAGATCCAGGCCTGCCCCGACCAAACCCAACGATATCATCATGGCAGGTCCCAGAGCATCCTTTGGCAGCAATCCAATCCCCGTCACTGCCCAAAGAAACGGACTTCGCTGTCATCGGGTCTGGTATCACCGGCTGCAGCGTCACGAAGACGCTCCTCGAACACCACGCATCGCGTGACTCCCATGTCACGATTCTCGAAGCCCGGACACTCGTTAGCGGTGCCACGGGTCGGAATGGCGGGCATCTGGTAACTGCCTCGGGGCATACTTACGGCCCCATAGCTGCGCAGCATGGTGTTGAGGCAGCGAAGCAAATTACCCGCTTCTCAATCCTCAACGTTGAGCGAATCATGAAGATGGTCAGAGATATGGACCCGGAGATCCAGGAGCGGTGCCAAATTCGTGATGTCCTCAAAGTTATGGCTGTCGGGGACGAGGAAACGTGGGCTGCGGCCAAGAGCTCGGTGTTGGGATTCCAAAAGGCCGTCCCAGAGCATAGCCAATATCACCGTCTCATCGAAAGAGAAGATGTTCCAGAAGTACGTACTTTAGGATTCTGATAGGGGGTCTTTGTGATTGATTGACTAACCATTTGATCGCAGAGATGGAACATCAAAGATGCCAGCGGGGCTGTAGAGCACAATGCCGGCGCCATCTGGCCGTACCGTCTTCTCATGGGAATCTATAAAGGTCTTCTGAGCCAATACCACACGCGGCTGGCAATTGAAGCAGATACGCCCGTTCTGCAGGTTCAGTTCTCGCCCTCCGGCAACCCAGAATACCCCTATCTCATCACGACTCCAAGGGGCATCATCCGCGCCAAAAAGGTCATACACTGCACCAACGGTCACGCATCACACCTCCTTCCACAACTAGCAGGCCGCATATACCCCTTCCGTGGCACAATGTCCGTCCAAAAACCAGGCCCGGCCCTCAAGAACTTGGGGGCTTCGCGCTCGTGGAGCCTGTCTCACAAACCGACCCTGGATGTCCGGAGCGGTCTTTACGTCACGGGCCTCTACTACCTGCAGCAGAATCCCCTGACGGGAGGGATCTGGATTGGAAACGAGACGGCGTACATGAAGGACATCTTGACTTCTGATGACACCTACGTTCCAAAAGAGGCAAGGGAAGCTCTGTCGACAGTGCTGCCAAAGTTCTTCCTCGAGGGGTGGGCACCTGAGACGAAGACATCCGAGGTGGATGCGATTTGGTCTGGAATACAAGGGCACACGGCCGATGGCCTCCCGGTCGTAGGTCGGATCCCAGACTCGATTGCGGGAGACACCGGTGGCGGACAGTGGATCGCTGCCGGGTTCAATGGGTATGGGATGGACAAATGCTGGCTGACGGGCGAAGCTTTGGTCAGGATGATGTTTGGGGAAGATGTCAGCGATTGGTTCCCGCAAGCGTACGTAGTCACGGAGGAGCGTTTGCAAGGGAAGTTGACGTCGGATGAGACGTTGCTCAAGTTTGCAAAGCTCGCGAATCCTCAGGGTGTGAAGCTGTCTAAACTCTGAACTGGCTCCGATTGCTGATCTGGAGGATAGATGGAGCATTATCATAGTCAATAGAATGGATATAAAAGAGACACGTGTATCATATATACTACGCAAACTAGCCCATCATTGTCCCAAGATTCTTCTCACGCGCGATATCGAGCCAATACACATCCTCCTCACCAGCATCCAGCGCCGCCCACGTATGATCAATCAACTCCGAAATGACCCGACTCTTGCGAAGCGGCAAAATGTGCGTATAGGCCGCCAGCCGCGATCGCACAAACTTGCGCGCCCGCGCCACCTCGATAGACGCGGGATCGATATCCAGCACATCCGCCCCGCCCTCACCATACATAGCATCCGGCTGTCGTAGATGATGAGGCTCCCTCCTCAGCTCGCTCGAGATAGCCACCATGATGAAAGGCTGCGCACTACGTGTCCGCGATTCAAAGGGAATATCTCGCAAGATGCCGAGTATATACATCGCAAGCTTCGTCAACCACGTCCTCCTCTCTCTCGCGGAGGGGATCTTGTTGTTGTCCAACCCCACCCCCGCGGTCGAGGACAGGGGAACCGGACGCAGGAGCCGCTCCCTGTCCCACGGCGCATACCGCTCATTCAACAAATCTGGAAATACGCGGTACAGCTGTAGAAGACCGGTACATCGGTACGCCTCGTCAATGAGCTCCAGATGCCGCAGCGGAGTCTTGGGATCACCCGGGTCCGTGACGCGCGACAGATCAGGCGGGCGATGCGCAAGAAATGCGCGCTCGAGTTGTCTTGCGGAGCGGAGCGCGGCGCGGAAGACGTCTAGGTCCGTCTCGGTGAGAAATTTGACGGCGGCCATGTGTTTCCGGTACTGAAAGATGAGGATGCCCGTGTCGGTGAGCAATCGGACGGTGGCGTGGGATATGCCCGAGTAAGGGTGCGGCTCAATAGACTTTGACGGGTCTGCCGGGCCGATGGAGGTGGTGTGGTGGTAGTCGCCTAGTTGGGTGCTGTCTGTCAGGTAGGCGAGGAGCATGGCCCAATAGTCCATGGTATCGCTGAAGAAGGACAAGCTTGCGTCTGCGTCGCTGCCGCATGTCTCGGCGGAGACGTCTTTGAGCATGCTGCAGCTTGCTCTGAACATGTCTGTTGCGAGGTTCTGGGGGCTGAGCCAGCTTGATGTGTGGCCGAGGAGCGTTGATGAGAGAAGCATGGCCCGCTTGTGTGTTGTGGTCATTGAAGTTGATAGAGGGAGCGCCGAGGGTCGATCGCGGATGAGTCTGAGGGCGTTACCGTGTTCTCTCCGCGCGACGGGCAGCAGGTGCGGAAAGTCTTCAGAGAGGCAGGCGGCGGCCATGCTTTGGATAGTGTGATATAAGGCGCCGGAGGACTGCCACATTGTCTCGACGATGTTGCGCATCACGTTTGTTTTGCTGTCCCAGGCGCAGTAGAGTGTGATGACCTCACGGAAGAAGTATTCGGAGAGCGAGGTTGGGAGATGGGAGAGCTCTCGCGGGCTGCTCTCTAAGAGCTGCTTACACGACCTGGGTTGAGTGTGATCGAACGAGGCCAGGGTACTATTCTCCTGAACATCGACCGCGGGGTTTTCACTCGGGAACAGGTGTTCCATCTCCCGGTCCTCAGCTTGAGATGACGAGGTTGTCGGGCTGTGACCATCGACAGTCCAAGCTGAGCTAACAAAAGGCACATCCCAAAATGGCGTCGTGGGAATCACACCCTGACTGCCAAGAAGTAAAGCGCACGATGGAGCATCAAGGGAGGGCATCTCATGGGGCAAAGCGGGAAGATCCCACTGTAAGGGATTTGCGAGCCACGGATCCACTTGTTGCAATACGTTAGTGTCGACATGGATCGGGGTTGGCGAAGCGGCTTCGATGTGCTGTGGACTTGGTTGAGATGCCGACTCCTGGAGTTCCCGTTGTCTGGGTGAGCCTTCAGCTGCGACCTTCTGATCGACGCGGACTTGGTGCTTTCGCGACCAGCGCACGTTGAGGGCGTAGCCTGGGCACTGGATTCCTCTTTCCTCACACCGGGCGCATCCAGGTTTCCTCTCATCGCATTTTGTCTGGTAGCAGTTTGTAAGTTATGTGTCATGGAAGAAGACCGGAGAGATCTCAGAGTGCCCATACCTTTTTCGACTTGCATCTGAGGCATCCGCCCCTTGATTTGGTATGCATTGCTCTGGAGGACTGCATGAAGTGGGGTGAAGCCAAGACCCTTGATATTCTGCGAGTCTTGGTAATGAAACGGACGTGATTCCGAAGAGCCCAATCTACGTGAATATGTGATTTTCGCAGCGAAAAACAGCTGATGAGTGCTCAAGGTAGCGGGTGAGAAGCCAAAGTTGGAGGTTGGAGTAGATAAGTTATCATTGAGTAGAGCAACCTAAACCTCTTATCTCATCCGAGTCTACTAAGGTACTCCGTAATGAACGAATGCTAGCGCATCCCGAGACCCCCGGTCCAGCGTTGTGACAATCCCCCGCAATTCTCAACTGCGTCTAACGCGAACCTGGTCATGCGGGGGGAGAGGTCACTCCGGCAGACGGCAATTGAGACTCAAAGTTTAGATAGCATCGGAACTCAGCTCTTGGCATTCAAGACTTCGTCTTTGTCTCTTCAGGTGTTGGTGGAAGAGAAGGCGTCTTAATCAATTATTTCACTCCTCACATAACCTTCACCGATCCAACTAATGCGCAACTCATACTCATACTGAACTCACATACTATCGAACCACAAAACCTCACTAACCCACTCACCCACCACCCCTACCATCCCCAGCCTTGGCTCCAGGTTCCCTCACCATGGTAAACAACCGAATCGCATCCCCTTCATCATCACAAATCATCTCCCTCTCAAACACGAACCCCCACCGCCCATAAATCTTCACATTCGGCACGTCCTTACTCGACTCCAGATAACACTTGACACCCTCCGCATCAGCCCGGTCCGTAACAACCTTCACCATTCTCGCGCCCACACCTTTCCCCTGAGCGGAGGGCAGCACAACCATGATGTTGAGAAAGTAGTACCCCCTAGGATCAGTCCAGATCTCGCGCTGGGCTTTGGCTTGAGCTTCTTTCCAGATGTAGTACCGCTGTATTCCTCGTTAGAACCGAGACGCAAAGAAATGGATGAGGGAGATGATATGGGGACGGTACCTTGACATTCAACCCCCCGCGTCCATACCACAAGTTATAATTCACCTGTCCAAACCAAAGCCGCCATCCCTCAAACCAATCATTCCAAGTCGACGGCGCGTCGGCGGGCTGTGGAGGAAGCCACATCGCCACGCCCAGCACCTCGTCGCTGCCTTGCTCTTTTGCAACGTGGAAGATGCCGTTACGGATGCCCCATCTCATGCGGAGGGCCAGAGATTCGTAATTTCGTTGCTGGTTGAACTAAGGTCACGACATTTGGCGTCAGCACTTGGCTTTTCGTCTTTCTCTGCATATCCGCAGCTATCTGGGAAAGTCTGCTGTATGGTGAGCAGCCTTGGATATGTAGGCAGCTCGTCGGTGTTTGGGTAAGGGTGTACCTTTGATTGATCGTATACCCAGACATTGTACGGGTCTCCGCTGAAAGCCTGTCTGTGAGGTGTAAAGCATCAGTATCGAACCCAAAGTTGATATGCGTATCGTGTTGATATCTATAAAACTCACTGTACCGCCTTTACTGCCCCTGGGATATCCACCTCGGTGAGATCCGTAACTTCAATGGTCATCTTAGACGAGATTTGGTGGACTATCGATAAATGTATTGAATGGCAATGAGATGCACCTGATAATGCAATTCAGGGCTCTAGAATGAGGGGAAATATAGCGTGAGCGTCTCGTGAATCTTGAAGCAATTATCCCAGATTCAAAGATTCAATTGAGATTGAATCGACATGAAAACCAGCTTAACTCTCTGGGTGGTTGATACCTACAAAGCAACCCCCAATCTCCAGGTCGCGCGTGGTCTGCGGGGTACAGATAGTGTTAGTTCAAATTGATTATCCAGGAGAGATAAGATCGCATAGACTTTCCGCGAAAGGCAAGGCGGGAAACTCGGCGCAAGGCTCAAGCATGCCAAAACCTCACTCACCCCGCGTGCCCGCGCCAGCTCGGCTCCTCCACACATAGGAATCGAGACTGCGACTGAGTAAAAGTTCCCTTTTGCCAAGGGCCCCCGACCTCCGATCACATTCCACGTGCTTGACCAGACAAGACCGATCCGACAGCGGGACCCTGAGACTTTCTCACTCCCATTCCCCGCTGAGCTACCCGTAGATCGTCCGCCCCAAGGGGAGCCTGTGCGACAATCCGAACATGTGTGAACCTACATATAACCTTCCCTTCCCTCCCACCGGAGTGACGTCGGATGAGTGGCGAGAGGACAAACACTTGGCCACTGCAGTCTTTTTTCACTTTTCTCTATTTCTCCAATGTCCATGTTTCAATTTTCAGCCAGACACAGGACGCGTCAGTGAGGCAGGCGCAGCCGGCGCTGAGGCCAGCTTCGTCCGACTCAAGTGAGCGACAGCAAGGCAGTGAAAATTAGACTCAATTGCGTTTGCTATTGAGAGGGAAGAGTGTTGAAGATGTGAAATATGCCATTGGTATTCGCTTAATTATGATTATTTTAGTTATGCAATGCTCATTCGCCATGAGGAATTTGTCAAAAGTCCACCAGGAACCTGTAGTGGACTGGGAAAGTCGTTGGAGGCTCGCGCACTCTTTGGGGGAGCCTTCCGATCCTTTCGAGTGAAATGAAGAAAATCTCATCTCAACATCAACGTGTCGCCATGCTTCCTTCCATACATCTATTTCTTCAAATAGGGGGTTGCGGTCTTTTGAAACATGACCAAATACAACCCCCCAAACCCATAAATCCAAACATTCTCTTTCGAGTCTTTCCCCCTCACAGATCCTTCTTCTGCTCCTGGGGAATCGGGTTCCCCTTTTCGTCGACAAGACCCTTGGCGCGCATGACCTTGAGGGCATCGTGGAGGGGGTCGAGCTCGGGCTGAGGCGCGCGGTGGGAGTCAAAGTAATTGTCGGCCCAGGTGAAGTACTGGCCGTAGTTGACCGTGAAGTACATGTGGTGTAGGGTGTGGTGAGCGGGGCTGTTGATGTACTTTTCGAGCCAGTGTCCTGAAATCATATCGCCGTCGTGAATAAGGATAGTCCAGATTTGGACGAGGACGAAGAGACCCATGTAGAGGTATTTCTGGATAGGGCAGAAGAAGACGAAGACACTGGGGGATGTTAGTTTTGTTGTTGCACGTGGTCACCAAGTTGAGGCTCGAGTGGCTCTCAGTTGGTGATGGTGATTTTTGGGGGCTGACTAACTGGTAGGGCAGAGATTGGACGTAGCCGTCGAGGGGGTGGAAGGCGAGGGCGGCCCAAGGCGTAGGCACTAGATAGAGTCAGTCGAAGCCATAGAATTGGAAGCCGATCAATTCACCGGGAAAAGAAGAAGTAAACTGGGATAACATACCAATCCACTTGTGGTGTGGCTTGTGAATGTACTTGTAGACGGAAGGGTGGTGCTCGAGGCGGTGAATCCAGTAAATGGCAATATCGTTCCAGACCATGAAAATGGTAGCAGAAACGGCCATCCACCAGAGGCCATACTCCTCAACGTGGGTGTATAGTAGACTCTTCCCGCGAACCTCGGCGAGGAAAAAGGGCAAAGTCAGGATGTTGATAACGGGGACGGCCTTCATGGAGGAGATAATCTCCTGGCGGATCTGGTTCTTGAGGAAACGCGGGTGGTACTCGAGGCGGCGATCAAAGATGAGGTAGTAGGACAGCGGGCTGAAGATCCAGTAGAGGGCGCAGGCGCCGAGCTGAGTGATTGCGAGAATGGAGATGGTTTGGCGTAAGATGCTGTCGCGGGGCCAGGCGGAGCCGTACGAGTTTGAGAGGTCTAGTGGTGATGATGATGAGGCAAAGGCGTCGCCGGTCGCGTTGTATGCGCCGGTGCTGGATGTGGTGGGCGCGGGGACAAAGTAGGCGTAGGCCTTGTCCAGGACCAAGGGGTCGAGGAGCTCGAGCGCGACGTCCATGATGGGCCGGCTTTGTGTGTGGTGTGGCGGTTGTTCGTCGTTTGTTGTTTCTATCCAGTAGTGGGATGCGCAGGAGCGTTGGATAGACGGAGAGACGCAGGTGGTGTGATACGGTAGGTTGATGGGATGGCAGCTATCGGTGTGCGAGGTGAGGGAGGAAAGGGAAGTGTATGTGAGAGGAAGCAAGGTGTAGATGGAGAAGAAGAGAATGACACAAGAGTCACGTCGCCGATAAAGGTGTTCCGACGAAGTTGCGCTCGCTCGCAGCTCGGTCGGTCGGTCTGGCGGTCCCTCTATTGCTGTTGCTGTTGCTGGTGCTGGCAGTGCAGTTGTTGCTGCTTCGGCGTCTGCTTTCTGCTCAGGGGCAAAGGAAATGGCAGAAACATTTTTGGGATCCGTTTATTTTCACCCACATTGGCACATTGGAGCAAATTAGTCAACCGCTGCCCACCCCTCCCACCAGGGAGCTCCTTCCGTGGTGCGCGCTTGCGACCAGTAACATTGGGCGACAAGAGACGGGACGGGAAAGAAGGATGGCGAAAATGTGCGACCACCACCACCTGCCTGCACTGGAGCAAAAGTACAAGATACATCAGAAACAGCACATCAGGAAAGAGGGAGGAAGGAAGAAAAAAAAAGAAAAAGAAGGGACCCGCAAGATGAAATGATGGCGCTAAGCTTCATCTGTTCATTTAAACGAGGTCGAGCTGATCATTCCGGCCACTCACAGCAGCGTCTGCCCTGCATCTCCCACTCTGGCGGGGTCTTCTCATCGTCGGTACGTATCTTGTCTCTAGGTACGTACCCATTCCCGGCGCATTTGCGTGGTGGTGTCACTTTTGGTAGTGGCCGTACTGCGCAGTGATTGACATTTGACACACCCATCACAGCAGCATGGCAGAGTGCGCCAACGCTGTGCTTGTGCCATCTGATTTGCCAATCCCTTTCTCGAATGCACCGGACCTGTTCCTTCCCCTCCATTACCACCTGTAAGCTCTCCTCAATTGAATGCGCTGATTTGGCGCATATAGATAGATTGTTGAGCTGCACACAACATCGAGCGACCGCAACATTTTGGGACTTTCGGGCCACTCGGTGTCCGTGCGGCGCCCCGAAGACGGAGTTACGAAATACTATGGTGGGGCTGATCTCACCGGATTCCCAATGGGATTTCAAGGAGAAATGAAAAGCGGGGCGGATCTCTCGGGAATTCGTGCTGCCAGTCGAACCATTCTGCCATTCTTTCCATTCTTCTGGCTCCATCTTCGCCACGGCTGAGCACGGGAAGACATATGGATGGCACATCCCAGCATTCGGGATGCGTTATCCTTTTCTGCCATCTGGATTTCCAGCTATTACACTTTTGTCCGAGTGACATATATGGTATTGATGAGTGATACGTCTCTGGCGCGGTTGGTCTTGAATCCCGGGTGACTCTTTGCTGGACTTCATGGCCGATGCCTTTTGTGGCACTGCAACAAAGGGATAATAATGGCAATGACTATTCGGACGACTCAGGCAGGGATCCAAAGCAAACACCAGTTTCGACCATGCTGCAGCCTGCAACGACTCGCTCGTTTGAGAATGAAACGAACACTGATCAGGGCGAAAAGTCGCCCGTTGGCAAGCTCTCAACACCGACCCAAATGCTTACAGCTTCTTTGATAGCTCGGTGATGATGATCCTTAGCGCACTTTTCGTATTCGGATCGCCCAAGAGCTCGGACGCTCCACACGATCGACATTTTAACTCTAGCGCCTCACGGAGTGTGGCAGCAGAACAGGCTGAACAGCTGCCCAATCACGTTAGACAATGAGCCAAAGCTGTGGTAGAATATCTGTCCCAAGTCTAGAACGTTGGATGGTAGTTGTCAAAGGCTCTGGCAGAAACTCTAATATCAACTTTCTATCAAGAAACCTACCGGTAATCGGGCACACTGGAAATTCATGTAACCAACAATTGATGGTGCTATCAGTGAGGTTCGGTATCATGGCGATAACGCTGCTTATGTAATTGCCATGAACATGGGAGGAAGGAGCCATCGCAGCACTTGCCACACCCCCCCGTCGTTGCTGCACTGTTGCCTAAGCCCTTATGGGAAGCTCATTCGAGATGAACAACTTCCCTTCTCCGCAAATCTCGTCCCAATTACACTTCTTCTCATACCTCTTCCCCCGTCGACCTCCGTCTCTCTCTGCCCGTCTCCAACAACGGCGCGGAATCCGGCCTCGCAGCGCCAAGATCGGACGTGGGGACCGTCTTCGGACGTTCGTTCCCAAGCCAATTGCATAACACGACCCTCGTTACCCCCATTTGTTCCTTGCGTCGATAAGGGGATACCTATCCGTAGACCAACGACGTCTCCCAGCAGAGCGGTTCGCCGCCGCCGCCCCCGGTTGGTTCGCACCCATCCATCCACGCATATCCAGTATCCGCAAGCCGCAAGCCAGCCGAGCCGCGCGATGCCAAATACAGGCAGGCCGAGTCCAAACTGCCACTTGTGTCGGAGCCGAAGGGTCAAGGTGAGAGAATGAGACAATCAGACACATATTTCCGTATGAGTACTTAACGAAATCCGAATCAAAACGGGTTCCTCCCGCCCTCCCGCTGCCGCTCGCAAGTGCGTAGCGCCGTCGCGTGTTATACCTACTTTGTGCCTTTGGTTCACGAATGAATATATGTACCTACCTTATCGTACCTACTTTACCTTACGGAGTATACGTGTGAATAATCATCCCAAGTCTCCATCGCCATGCAGCTGACAACTGGGGGGTCCGGCCGTGCGCGCCGTGCCCGCGGCATGCAAAAAGTGTGATTTAGGCCGACCGCAGTGCCAAAGATGCATCAAGTACGGGGTCCAGTGCCCCGGCTACCGCGACGATGACGGGATGCGCTTCCAAAACGCCGATCCCACCTCGTTTGAGCGACGGAAGAAGAAGAGGAACCACCAGCAGCACCAAAACCAAGACGAGGAGGCGACGTCGACGACCAGCTCAGGGACGGGGACCTTGCAGATCATAGAATTCACACCGGAATTATCGACAGCGGCATCGACCGCCACCTCGGCTTCCCCTGCGTCGAGCCGCCAGCCGAGCCGGCAGTCCACACCTGCCACGAGCATCACCTCCGGAACCACTACCTCGACGCAGCTATCTGTAGCACTTCCCGTGCTCAAGACCCTTCGTCAACACTGGACCGCCGAGTCCATTCCGCTGGTCCTGGGATTCTACGAGAGCCTGGACTTTCTCCCAGGCTTGTTCCGGGGCGCTGGCCAAGACCACTGCCTCGTGCTTACCGGCCAGGTCTTTACCAGGGCCTACATGATCAACAAGTTCCGTCCCAGGGCCGACTACCGCGAGCTGTCCATCGTTCTCGGCCATGCCCTAGCCGCGGTACAGGAGGCTATCAGGAACCCGAAGACGTATACTTCTGATTCGACGATCGTTGCGGTTTGGTTGCTTGGAAACTATGAGGTAAGTGAAGAGGCTTCTGACATGATATTTGCAAGACACCAAGCCTAAACCCCGGAGTGCAATGTTCTGGGTTGTTGGCGTATTGCTTTTGGCGACCAGGGGACTAAAACCAAATTCTGACAGCTGATGATTGGCGGGTTGGAACGGAGATCATTCATTACCAATAAAGAAAGGGGTTCGTCGCCCGAAGTTCCCTGGCACATCCACGGCCAGGGCCTCCTCAGCCTCATGCGCGCAAGGGGGGACCGGCAGCTCTACACCCGGTCCGGCCGTCAAATCTTCTGGGTCATGCACAACATGATTGTAAGCAAGACACTCCAGACCTACCTGCACTGATTTACTAATCCCGTATGTTTAGCAAGTCCAACTCACCATTGCAAACACACCATGTCCCCCGGACTTTGAACGCTGGCTCGACATCATCGAAGCTACCCTCCAACCCAGCGAAGGCCTCCTTCTTCACACTGCCCGCTACCTCTCTGCAGCATGCTCCCTTCTGTCGAAACTGATCCCGCTAACACTCAGCGGCGATGCCTCCCGCGCCCGGGCAGCGTACCCGGCCCTCATTGCTGAGAGCGACCGAGCGGACCTCGCCATGGCGGAGTGGATGCACGCGGCGCCCGAATTCCAAATCGAACCGGGGCCGATGTGGGGCTACTTCTGGAACTCGTGGCGGAGCGCGAGGATCAAGGTGCACCATATGATCATTCTTATTTCGAATCTCGTCGAGTATGGTGAGCCGTCGCTGGTCCCTGAAGATTACGATGCCGACTGTGGTGGGTGTCCGTTGTTGAGCCCGGAAGTCCTTCACGCCCGGCGGGAATTCTGCACGAGCATCATCGCGACGGCCGGCCGGGATGTCGTGGAGGGGATACCGAGGTCGTTGGGCGGGAAAATGCCGGACCTAGACCCAGATTTACCCTCGTCATATTTCGATGGCGTGAGGTTGATCTGGCCGCTGAGCCACCTGTATATTCTGCCGACGGCGCCCCGGCACCTGCGAATTGTGGCAAGGGATGCGTTGTTGAGAATCGCGAAGGAGAAGGGGATCTTGACGGCGTTGAAGCCGAGGGCGGGCGGGATGCTGTTCCCGGAGGCGGCGTTGAAGGGGATCCCAGTGGATAATTTGGAGGATGTCGTCGAGGGCGGCGGAGGGGTGCATCAGATTGCGACCAAAGTTGAGGCGCAGGATTGATGGTATTCTACAAAGACGGTCTAAAGAGAGTGAGCTCCGAGGCTTGGATCGCGTGTGTTGACTTCTAAGAGATCTCCGAACAAGAAAGTCGGGGTTTAGTAACTTCCGGCATCCGGGTATGAACTAGACACTTCGCTATTTTGTTGTTGAGTTCTACGGACATATCTAGGTATTTAGTTGTACCCGCTGTCGGCTTGTTCCCTCGGGGTATTCGCCCGTCGGTGCTAAACTCAATTCGCCGATGAACATGACATCAATACCGAAGTACACAGCCCTGCCAACCAAAGTGGAAAAGATGATGATCGTGCGCCTATCTAGTTCTTTCAGTTTAGCTTTGGGGGCTCTGGAGGCTGCTTACGCTCGCATAGCTTGCTGCCCCGCCATGGCCGATCATTGGCGATCGCACCTCTGCCTTTTACCCATGTTTCGCAGTCTGAGTACTGTGTGTGTCTACGAGTTGTTTCCCGTGAGCTATTGTAGGGTCGCTTGTAGATTTGATCTCACTTAACGAGATTCTCACTTAATGAGAATCTCAATCCATGAGGATCCTCGCACTCAAGGGAAGGCTTTCAAGTGAAGGCTATTGAAAAGCGGAGGCCAAATTGAATCCGTTCAAGGGATTCAAGAGACCCCTCACTATGTTCAAGGGATAGAAACTAGGCACCAACCGTAAATCCGCATCATTGATCATGGATCCCAACTTTCTTACCCCGGCTCACTGGCTCAGGGAACGAGAAGCTTGTTTCGACGTGTTAGCGCCGAGTTCGCGTTCTTGGGGGGTAATGCTACGGCGCTGCGCCGTTGAAAGCGGGAGGTTTACTACGGAGTAGAGGTACTGGTGCAAAAGAAAGAGTTTGATCAGTTTGCGGTACTGCGTGCAGGCAGTCAGCAGAGCCCGGCACTTCTGAGCCGAGTAAGCCTACTCCATGCCGGAAGAGGAAACCCATTCGACCCCGTTTTTTTTTTTGCTTGACCTGGACCGTAGAGCGCCTTTGAAGTTTGGGGTGTTTGCGTGGTGGTGAGTGGTCGCTGGTGAGATGTGGTGGTAGGATTCTGGTTGCGTGCCGATTATCCGAGTCGCGAGATAGAGCGCGACGTGAAAGTGTCCTGGGACCATTCCCGAATAGTAGCATTTCTCGAGGTTCTGGGGGGCAGAGTCAAGAGTCAAGACTTTTGATGGCTCAGCCACGAGATTGACGCGCCCTGTGGATATACATCAATCTCAGTTACATGCCTAGGTACTATGAATCTAAAGGACGAATACTAGCAAGAAGCAGTCATACAGAAACAGTAAAGATCTTTTCCGCAGAAATGACCAGAGAGATGCGTCGTCGGTCGTTAATCGATAAGAGGCCTACCGCTCCCGCGGGCTTAGATTGCGTCTAGATAAGGTACGGCGCTACAACCCCCCCCTCACCAACCTTACAAGCCCTGCCGCCCTACACGTCAACCACCCAGGTGCGCCGCTGATGTGCTTTGACAGCCTATTGGATACCGCAGCGACCGTTGGCTTTGGAGGAAGGCGGAGTTTTGGTTAGCGGAGGATTCTCAGCGAATGTAAGTAAGCGAATGCGATGGATGGGGACGCCGATGCAACGGATGCGCAGACAGGGCAGATGGGGCCCAAAGGCTTGTTTCCAACTTACAGCTAATAGCTGCCTGCTGAGTATGGGGCCGGGGCTGGTTTGGGAGGACTCCCTCGCGTGTAAGGTAGTTTTGGAAATGGTATAACTATCCTGCTCGGAAGCTCTAGATGTCTGGAGTATTTCGAGCCATCATCAACCTACTTCACTTTAGAACACGACTAGTCTTACATACCTGGTACTTTAGTCTTATTATGCTTATTCACGAAGCTCTCATCCAGGCCAGGGGCCTTCTGCGCGACAGCGACAGCAGCTCGAACAGCACCAAGGATGTCTGCCCAGAAATCTCCCTCGTCGAAGGTCAGTCTTTTCACTCTCACCTGAGTAGTCTGTCATTACCATGGCTTCTTTTGCTAATACCAACTCAAGATGCATCCCAACCCCTCTTCGGCACCATGTCCTTCTACACATTCAACATGATCCTCTCCGGTAGCTTCGCCGCCGCATCGTGCCTCATCATCTTCACCCTCATGATCCTCCACGCAACGCACCTAAGCAAGAGCAACGAGCAAATCAAGTCCGTTAACTCCCTCGTGGTCATTCACAACCTCGCAACGACAGAAATGGCAAAGCTAACAGTAGAAAATAGAATCCTCAGAATCTCCCTCATCATCCCTTTCTGGTCCATCATCTCCTTCCTCTCCATCTGCTTCCCCACGGCCGAAGTCTACCTCCACCCCTGGCTCGAGTTCGTCCAGTCCATCTGCCTGGCCACGTTCTTCCTCCTCCTATGCGAGTTCGTCTCGCCTAGCGAGCAGCATCGGGATGTCTTCTTCGCCGGCATGACTGTGAAGAACAAGAAGGCTGCGAATGGAGAGGAAAATGGTCTCCAGTGGTACAGAGTGAGTTGAACCACACCCCGTCAAGCATTGTAGGGGTATGCATCTAACATCCCATTGCAGAAAATGTGGTTCGCCGTCTTCCAGTATCCAGTCGTCGCTCTCCTCGTCGCCATCTTAACTGCCATCACCCAAGCAGCGGGTGTCTACTGTGAATTCGAAAGCAAGGTTCATTTTGCTAGATTATGGGTAAGTCAAAACCTAAAGTTACTTACCTGTTCATCATCCCGAAAATCTCATCTAACAACCTCCCTCAAAGCTACAAATCATCGGCACCGCCTCCCTCACAATCGCCCTCATGACCGTCATCCGCTTCTTCATGCAACTCCGATCCAAACTCTCCCACCACCAGCCCCTCGCCAAGTTCTTCGCCTTCAAGCTCGTCGTCACCCTCACCTTTCTCGAAAACATCATCTTCTGGATCCTCAAGGACACGGGCGCCCTCAACCCGACATCGACCCTCACCGACGCCGACCTCCGCATCGGTATCCCTTCCATGCTCGTCTGCATCGAGATGCTGCCTCTCGCGGCGTTCTTCCACTACGCGTACTCCCACCGGCCTTACGTGATCGGCGGCGGGAACACGCGCCGGCCGTTGGCGGGCGATTTGGAGGCGTATGAGCCGCAGACGTATTCTGGTGGGCCCGGGGGTGTGTGGGCGCTGGTGGAGATGTGGAATCCGATGGAGATTGTGGAGGCGATTGTGTTTGGGTTGAAGATGAAGGCTGAGGAGAGGAAGCAGTCCAGGGCCAAGGGTCGTGGGTGGCAGTCGACTAAGTATCAATCGGTTGAGGAGCCGTATGAGATGGGTAGGAGATGAGGGAGATGATGGAACGGGTTTGACGAGCATTGATTTTAAGCATAGATTGTTCATTTCATGGCACTTAGACCTTTCCTAGCAGCTGTATATACCCTTTTGTAGAAGTCCACTCGCTTATTCTGTACTCATCTATAGTAAAAAATGTCATGTGAACCAAGCTGAGAGTTTTATCTGCAACCATATTCTAGTCCATCTGTTTGGCTGAGAATCGATAACTAAGGTCGAGACCATAACAAACCTTCACATCAAAGTCGATTGAAGTTTTGGAATGAACGGCTAATAGTATTCACTTGGTCTACAGCAGCTCTTATTACTATGTAAGCATGTATGTGTACTTTGAATATTACATCTAGAGCGCGTTAACCTTGGCGGCATGCTCATAAACAAGCGGCTGAGCCTCGGCATCATCCAAGTAGATGGTGAACCCATCGTTATGGTTCCGCCCATACGAGTAGTTGGAGAAGCCGTACTGCCAGTACATATCCGGCATCTCCTCCTCCAGCGAAATCGCTTGCCACTTGCCCAGCACCTCCGTCCTCGGTGTATCATCCACCTTACCAAGATACTCAAGCCTCTTATCGGCCGTCAACCACCCATACTCCTCATGCACAACCGGCTTCCCAACCTTCTTCCCGGACGCAGCATGATCCCGGATCCACTGCTCCGTCCACTCGACCGTCTTGCTCCACCAATCCGGATACGAGTGGAACGTGCCAAAGTCGATATTCGGCAGCGCGAGCTCGTGGTCGAAATCGCTTCCGTCGGCGCCGTTGTACGCCCAGTCGTCTGATTCAACGTTGAAGCCGCCCTCGCCGCCCCAGGTCACGAGGTGCTTGTTGTCGAGGGACTTGACGTAGGCGCTCATCTCGGTGATCCAGGCGCCGAGGCGCTCGGGCGTGCAGTCGTCGCTCCGGGGGAGGTTGCGGGTGCCGTCTGCGCCGCAGCGGGGTTCGTTGGCGAGTTCCCAGGCCATGATGGCTGGTGAGTCCTTGTAGCGGGTGACCATTTCTTTTACGTAGCGCTTGAAGGCGTCCTTGATCGCGGGGACGTGGTAGAACTATTTGAACGGCATTTGGTCAGAAATCTGGGTACCAGAGAGGTTGTTTGTGAGAGAGCTTCGAGGGCTACTCACGTCGTCGTGGTACTTCCCACCCAAGTTGACCGTGTAGACGTCCATGCCGCCGTAATCGGCCCAGTTGTTGGTAAGCGCGACAATCAGCTTGATGCCGACCTTGTCCGCGGCGTTGACGACCTTGTCAAAGGCCTCGATGTTGATGACGGAAGTGCCATTCTCCCATCTCTGGAAGACGATGTCCGTGTCACCGGCACCCTCGCCGCCATACTGGGGTAGACCACCGGCACTGTACGTGACGTTCTTGTCGTTGAAGCCCCATGTGCGGAAGACCTTCAACCCGGCGTCCTTGGCTGCTGTCAAGCCAGCCTCGACATCGGCTTGGTTCTAAAAGAAACATAATCAGTCTAAAAAAGTAGTCAATTGGGCATGGACTCTTGACGCATCACGTACGTTGTCAAAGGGAAAGTAGTAGGCATTGCTTCCCGCAAAGTTGAAGTCCTCGCCATCAAGCTGGAACTTAGTGCCCTTGACCGTGACGAAGCCCTTCCTAATGCACGCAGCGGACGCGGCTCCGCTGGCCAAAAGGCCAATGGAGAGCAGACCGGAGAGTTGAGGTAGCATTGTTGGATCAATTGACGGGAATGCCTGCAATCAACTCCAGAAGACTTTCCCCTCGCGGAGACGTACGTTGTGGCTACGTGCCATATATATTGACCCTCACTCTCGGAAAAGTTTACATCATTGCAGGAAACGCGATCCGAACCATACCATCTGATTCGGGGCGTTTCCCGATTTGAACTTCGGAGGCCGTTGGGCCGCGTGCCACGGGTGCGTCGACCGGGGCACGCGGGGGGGAAGTTGGAGATGCCAAGGTGAGGAACCGGGACGCTATGCTGCTTTCAACGCGGAGGATGGTCGTCCGAAAGTTGGGGTCGGGGCAAATTGTCAAATGAGACCGGGTAGTGATAGATCGAGGAAGGGAATTGGCAAACCAAACTTCGTAGCTAGCTTGGATACGATTGTACCTGGTTGAGATATCAAGTTAAAATGTTAACGTTGATAGCGTCCATGGTGCCATGCCCGCGACTGTTCACCGACTACGACACTTTCGGGTCGTGGTGAGTCGTGGACGATCTGTGTCCTATCTGCCTGTGTTGATCTCTTAACCATCGTCGCACAGGTCAAAGACCTCAAAACAACACCGCAAGGTTTGACAACTCTCACTGAAGCCAAAAGTCAAGTACGGTGATCTCCAACTGCATGTTCATGCCAAGAGAGACCTAGCGGCAGGGCCATCTATCCGACGGGATGAACTTCCTGCTCGTCCGAACAATTGACATGGGGAATTGGCAAAGCCGATCTAAGTTCCGCCTCCCCAACCCACAATCATGCTATTGCCCCGCGGCGGTTAGCCGCCTAGTCTTCCTCAGCAATTCCAGCTGGAATCAAGAACCACTCAGATGGAACTGCTCCTAATTGTTGCGTCGCCTGCATCTCCTTGCACCTACCTACCTACACCAACGTGAGGGAAGGTAGGCGCTTCTCTCAACACTTTTGCTGGAAAGAGAGTAGGAAGATGGACGTGCCGTGACCGTCAAAATACGTTGGCCACACTTCATCTCATGCTGGTGAAGATTCCGCCTCCAGAAAAGTGCGAGGTTGTTTACTTTCAATGCGGGGTAGCCCGGCTGGGTTTGATCATGGTCTGATGGAAATTATTGACAGCTTTCGCGATGAAGAGAGAATTGGCAACCACACGCGTGTAAACACCACGAAGCAAATCACCACTGTGAAGCCTTGCAAGTTCTGTCTGGTATCAAAAAACACAATCATGAGCCAATGATTTCCTAGAAGTTCATGGTAGACACAGTACGCCTAGTAAGACTACGCGGGATCTGTCAGAGTGATCGCTACAGCAAAAGTTCAGAGTGATGCCCACTATAGTGAGTGTCGAATTGCCTCGTGGCGGAATCGAACCGCCGATCTTCTCATGTCACTATTACTAGTGAGACGCTATACCACTTAGCCAACAAGGCTTGATCCTCCATTCGCTGAATGTGGAATATGTTGGGCGACGAGGAGTGGGACGATGGGCGGGAGTTGAGTGGGTTTCGAGAACTGGGGCCTGGCAACTTGGCCCAGGACAACCCAATGTGGATGGACATGCAGGCCATGCGCAGAAGCACTCAAAATGCAAAGTGGGATGAGACTCCCTAGCAGCTTGATCGACTCCTCGCTAGAGCTGGTCGATACCGTCAAGACGCGTGATTACGAGAACGTTGAGCCTTACATGTACTCATGTCCAAAACTCGAGTCTGACTTACCTAGTAGGTTAAAGAGAACCTCCCTCTCAGTCTTGCCAAACACAATGTGTACTATACTGGATATGGTCAGAAGAGTACTTGTGAATCTCGTGATCGGATTGGGAACGACTTACGGTCATGCCCAACTCAGGTGGTTGAGCTGGAGAAATCATGGGCTGCTTTGAGACCAAGGCTTTGCGACTATGCGAATCACTGTTAAAATCCGTCAAGCTGAGGTTGTCAACAGGGACTTCAGAAAAGGAACAAAAGCATGAATGTTGTCAGCTTCGCACTTATCTTTAACCTCTCTCAAACTGAGAACGAGGGAAGTACTGTTGAAAATACCGCAAGAACAACTAGGAATGAACCGAGGGAGGAGATATTAGTAACGATTGGTGTTATCACACAGCCTTGACACTGATCCTGTAATCTCGTCTACATGTAGACACCCGATGCTCTGCTCTACTGGCATCGCTTGGTTTCGGCAATTGATGGCACCGGTCTTCAGAATGCCGCGTCAAAGTCCGTCGTGGTGTGATGGGCCAGGGTCAAGGTAGGACCCCATGAGTGTTGTTGACATGTGTGTAGCTCATGAGCTGCATGAAGGCCACCATTGAGACTGCTACTTGTCACATTTTTGGGCATTCTCCTATCATCTTGACCAAGTTTGCTCTTTGCATCTGTTCTGTCAAATTGGCAATCTTAAGCAAGTAGGGAATACAAACAGTGATTAGTTGCATTACTCAACGGCCAAAAAGTTGTGCAAAATTGAATCTAGAGGACTTCTTATCACTCGCAAATTTACTACCAACACAACCTGGAACTTGAGCTTTCCTTAAACCTATCGAGATGAATGCTCAGACCTTGGGATCCAGCCCATTTAAACAAGACGGAACCAAAGCCACAATTCCCGCATTTGGCGTACCAACGACGGGGCTCCTCTTCCGTGATCCCATCCCACTACCGAAATCCACCAATTACCGAGACTAGTAGACTGCCGCTGACAGTCTAATCATCAAAATCTGGGGAAGTCCTGGAGCATGGTACGTAACATGCGTCAAGGATCAGTTGATTGCGGTGTGCCTTCCACGTCCACGGGGTCCTACCTTCATTTACAACACGCTCGCTCACTCGTCAAGTCGCCCCTTCAAGGACGGTGAGGGATCCTAGCCAAGAGTCACAGCCGTGAAATTCCTACGTTGAATCAGACGATTCATTTACTTTCATTACAAATGACCGGGAGAAAAGTCGGTTGAGATGTCGAGTATATAGTATCTGATCCAGGTTGAGCACGTTGTAGCTCTTTCTTGCTCACGCCATCGTCCTTGACATCAATCATCTCTTCCCGTTTACCAAGCCTTGATCGTCATGAAGTCCGCCATTCTATCCTTGTTGGCGATCGCGGCCAACCAGGTCTCAGCACACGCAACCTTTCAGGCTCTATGGGTTGATGGAGTAGACGTAGGCACAAGCCTTTGCCATGAGAAATCTTGAGCTTGCGCTGACTGGTTGTAGTTCGGCGGACAATGTGCCCGACTTCCGCTTTCCAACTCGCCCGTCCAAGACGTCACTTCCAACGATGTCCGATGCAATGCCAACGGCGGTCCGGTTGCTCGCAAGTGTGTGGTCAAGGCCGGATCGTCAGTTGTGGTTGAGATGCATCAGGTACGTCAAACCGAATCGTTCGACGTGAATGTTCCCTGTCGGGTCTAATGTTCTCACTTACAGCAACCCAACGACCGAACATGCACCCAGGAAGCCATCGGAGGCGCACACTACGGGCCCGTCCTCGCCTACATGACCAAGGTCTCTGACGCTACGACCGCCGACGGCTCGACCGGCTGGTTCAAGATCTATCAAGATGGATGGTCCGCCGCGGCCGGCAGTGCAAACGGCGATGGCGACAACTGGGGATCAAAGGACATGAACACCTGCTGTGGTAAAGTCCAGGTCAAGATTCCTTCAGACATCCCTGCTGGAGACTACCTCCTTCGCGCCGAGTCTATCGCCCTGCACGCGGCCGGCTCAAGCGGCGGAGCCCAGCTGTACATGACTTGCTTCCAACTTACCGTGACTGGCGGAGGAAGCGCTTCTCCCGGAACCGTCTCGTTCCCTGGCGCGTACAAGGCTTCTGATGCCGGCATACTTGTCGATATTCACAGGGCCCTGACTACCTACGTCGTACCGGGCCCGACTGTGTACGCCGGAGGCTCGACTAAGAGTGCCGGTGCTGCCTGCGTGGGCTGCGAGTCGACGTGCACCGCTGGCTCTGGACCTACTGGAACCGCATCGAGCGTGCCACTTCCGACGGCCTCTGGTGGGCTGCCTGGCTGCACTGTTGCCAAGTATGCTCAATGTGGTGGCGAGGGGTACACTGGCTGCACCACTTGTGTTGTAAGTTGACACTTGTCTAACACTGTAGGAGATTACATGATGCTGACGATGTGCAAAGTCGGGCTCGACATGCCAAGCTGTTTCGGCTCCCTACTACTATCAATGCGGTTAACCTTTGTAAGAACTCAGGCTTATGTCAAGGGGCGGGCCGCATTTCTGAACGTCAAGTAAGATGTCCTGAGAACGATTGCATTAAGCCCGAGAGACCTTATCATTCTTCAGGCTGGTGAGTTATTCAATAAGGGGTTGCTTTGTTGTATGTCACATATAAGGTTTACATAGGCTGGTCTGCCAAACAAAGTCCCATATCACGCCATCCTCACTTCTCTTGCAGTGTCTCTATCGTGTGTTCATACATGAATGTTGACTTCGGTCCTACATAGCTTGGTAATGACAATGCATTGTTTCTTCGACCGAACGTCTTTAAAAACGGCTTCCACAATATGTCTCCGTTGACCGCTAACTTCAAAACTTCTGCGACCTGTAAATAACCGACGTTGATATACAAAATTGAATTAGTATTGTTTTACAATTACATAAAGTACACACTGGACAGTCTAGACAGAATTAAAGGCCGGTGGTCATGAAAATTATACAACAAAGTCAAGATTGCTAAATGACAACTTAATACAATCGAAATGATAGTTTTTCGCCCTGCTCATTTCACTCAAGTATGACGTGCCGCATCAGAATTTGAATCTTTCTTTCATGTACCTTCGCGTGATGTGAGAGAAACCAAAGGCTTTCGCTCAAGATGTTTAAGTTAGGACAATCGTGATTCAATGAACGCCGGCAAAGTACTAATACTGCAAAAACCATAACATCATGCTTGCTACTTGATTAGGGGTATAATACAGATAGAAGGACACGCTTTTACATCCTGTACCTAGGTATTTGGTAGTTGTTTTCAAATTTCCCTCCAAAAAAGTAATTACAGCCCTCTCCTTCTCAGAAATGGCCAACCTCTGGCGCTGTTGGCGGTGGCTGTCTTACTTCGATTGTGAAGTTCGGATGCCTAGGCGCCACAGTCCTGTATGTACTCGTTTGTCTTTGGGGAGGCTCTAGCACCTCGACCTCATCTTCCGACCAGTCAACTTCTTCTTCACTTCGAACGTCCTCACGTCTGGGGCGGGATGTTCCGTCGTTATCTCGGAATGAAACCTTTCGTGCCCTTGGTTGACCGTGCGGTCTTCCCGATCTTAGCGGTTCCGTTGAAGCATAGCCGCTGTCACCGGGAGATAGGCTACCTCGAAGCGGCACATTCGTATCTCCTTGGACATGCGGCCTAGAGTGGCTTTCACTCCTAGTTCGAGATTTCCTTACTGTTCCCGTCCAATATGTTTCGGGTTTCTGGGCTTGTCTTTGTCGCAGATCGGGTCTATAGTAGGGGGTTTGACCGTAGATCGTTTGGTTTGGGATGAAGGGGTTGCTAGTAGCGCCAGTATCCAGGTCTCTTGGTGGTGGTGGATAGCCGCCGCCCGAGTAAGGAACTTCTGATGCAGCTCTTCGATGAGATGGTCTGTGAGGAGCTTGAAAGCCTCCAAGATCTGACCGCGACTGTCCATGTACCGCCTTCAAGATTTCCATGGCAGTAGCTTGTATAATTGAACCAGTATCCTGTTCATCATAGACTGACGGAACAGGCGTGGAAAACCCCTTGGAGCCAATGTCAGAGCGGAGCATTCGCCTGCTCAACTCTGAGCGCATGTCAAGGTCTCTCAGCGCACCGGCGTTGTATTCGAGCTCTTTCCGTACGGTCTTTTTCACCTGTCTTGCCAAGGCTGCATCCGATGCCTTTTTCCTTTCGCGTCTTTCTTGAGCTTTCAAGCCATCATGCACTTGCTGTTGCCTGAACGCCAGATCTTCCATTCCCCTCATCATCTCTTCTATCTCATCATCTCTGATTGTTCGTTTTGGTGGTTTCTCCTGCCTTGGCTTGGGCTGCTTCTTCGATTTGGGCGCGCTTGCTTCTGGGTAATACTCCTCGAGTGGCTCTTGCGGTGCGGGGTACCGGGGGTAATGATCCTTGCGTTGACGGGGGAAAGTAGTCTGCGGGCGAGGGCCGGTATAATAAGCATGACTGCGAGGTGTGGCAGCGTACGGATGAGGAGGGACTGGTCCTTGATGCGGTACATAGTAAGAACCGTAAGGCTCGTTCGGTGGAGGATATGTAGATGGTGGTGGTCCCATGGGACGGGGCCCGCCCATCGAATTTCTCCAACCAGCAGTATGAGGTGCTTGAGTATAATGCGGCATTGGAGGCGCGTGCATTGAATATACGTCAGGATGAGGTGGTGGTGGAGGATGAGGAACTCCGTAGTAGTTCATAGCTGGGCCCTGAGGCTGTTGACTGAACCCTTGAGGGTCGTTGGGACTGGGAGGCGGGGGATTCCGGTTCGGGGGACCTCTGTGCCGTGAAGGATCTGCGAAACCTTCTAGGTGACCGCGCCTATACGGGACTGTCTGGCCGGTAGCAAATCTTGCTTCATGATGAGTGCTCAAATTATCTGGATCGGCATATGTTCCGTCCCATGCAAATTGTGAGGCAAGATCTTCGAAGTTGTCGACTGGGTCTGGATGACGCTGATGATGCCTGAAGGATCTTCGTGCTACGTCGGGTTCCGATTCGCTCCAGTCCGTGTCTTCTGGAAAACCTTCTTGTTGGGTTGGACCGCTTTGTGAAGAATAGAGGAGCGCTGAAACCATGATATTGAATGAAAAGCAAATGACTGTTTGATGAGAAAAAGGATTATTGACTTTCAAAGCATGTTTTCAACTGACAGATGTGGATAATGCGACAGAGTCCCAATTAGCTGGAATCGGGGTCCGTGGTGTGGCTGCTGCTTTATTATATTCGTCATCGCATTCCGATTCACGCCGCGCCGAATGAGAAAGCGTGAGACAAGGTCGGCTCTCTTAGAAATATTTTCCTGCCGGTCCATTCCTAAAGGCCACCGCTGAGCGCTCATGTTATTGGCTCTGATGTGGTTTAGTGGTTGTTGGTTCGTGTTGGCAGTCATGTGTCGTGCGGCGATCGAAGGGAGACCACCCGTTCGCCGTTTATCCAGCTGCTCCGATTAGACAGGTCGCCGCTCCGGCCGTCACTTACCCCGTTTCATCCTTGGACACAGGGACCGGGCATGACTTTCAAGCAGGCTATGCTACAAATGCAGCTGCCTCATGGACGCCTTGAATTCTGCCTTGAAGTCAACCGGCTTGTCGCAGCTTACATATGCGGCCACTGGCGCTAGAAAGGCGCTAATGTACTGCGAGGTGTAGAAAACCACGTCGAGAGGTAGAGTACTTGCTTATACTTGGGTTAAGGCACTTGATCTCTAACACCAACTTACGGAGAGTGGCTGACGAGGCTGTGGTAAACGCTGAGATCCAGAGCGTGGGGTCGCAATAAAACCAAGGCTAGGAGATGATCTTATGTTACTATCTTCAAAATCAAAAGCAGGACCCTGAATTGAGGCCGCACCTCTTCCAAGAGCGGTTCCAACAACTCATCAGACCAACAGAGTGAAACGCTTGTAGAACGTTACACACTAACGAACAGTTCGAGCAGGCTGGCATGCAATATATATGCATGTGGTAAGACTTTGCAGCTGGCCGCTCGATAATGGTGGCAGTGTTGACGTGTATTGGGATAAGCGACGTGGGGATTTTGAGCCAGTAGGATAGTCCAATGCCACCAAGATCATGGTGTGAAGCTCAGCCCCCGTGACATGCTTCTGTTCTTCGAGTTCCCTGCAAGTCGGATTGGCGCCATGAAGTGGGCGCGAAATGTCCTCTGTGATTCGTTGGCTCTTCGGCCGAGAGCATGATCCAAATGCTTAAACATAGAGAGGCTGCTGAATCCGAAACTCTTCTCTGTCCATGGATTGTTTAGTTGGAACATATCTTGAAGTCCGCAACTTAGCCGTCTTAATCAATCGCGGCTATTCCTTGATGTTGGTTACAACACAGTGCTTGAGCCTGCGTATCTATTTCCAGAAACTCTCCAACGGCGGCTACTTCGGATACCTACCTCGGATTAACAGCTTTCCAACATGGATCCTCTTAGCATCACAGCAAGCACTCTTACTGTCATCCAGTCGTTGCTGGCTACGTTCGATACTATCAAACACATCAAGGGTTTACCCGCAGCCTTCAAGGAGGTGGGGAAAAGCCTCCCACTCGTCGAGAACACACTGCGACTCGCCCATGAAGCCCTGAGAGCCGAGAAGCCAGACGCCGCGGCTGAGAAGGAACTTATACCTGCACTGGGTGATTGCCAAAAGAGGGCTTCCACTTTACGCGACATCTTCAAAGACATTGAGGGCCGCAAGAACCAGGAAAAGGAGGCCAAAGAGTGGTCCGCTCTTGTCAAGTTCTATCACAACAAAGTCGTACCATTGGGCAAAGCTCACAAAGTCGAAAGCCTGATGCAAGATATACTCAAGAAGCTTAAGGTACTCGCTATCCGTCAGATATTCAAGGCAAGTTCGGAGTTGCAAAAGCAAGTCGGAGGCCTAGAGGACGCAATTCGGTCTTTGTCAGAAGTGGACCCGTCCCTCCCAGACTCAGAGTTTGATGCCGCTTCTAACAACATCTCAATGAACAACTACAACAAAGCAAAAGGCTTGGTTTCGACAGGCAGCAATGCGGACATTGCGATGGGAGACAAATACCAATCAGGCCACAACATGTACTTTGGTAGGAGATCAAGAGACAGCGATTCTGACTGAAGGTCGTCAAGCTTAGAAAAGCTGACGACTAGTGATTTCTGTGTAGCAAATCATTATTATCAAACCTATGGCGCTACCGGTTCGTTTTTACCTGACTGCACTGATCATGTCTCCTGTTTCTGACCAAAGAAGTGGACCGCCCAGAGCTACATATCGCGGACTGGCTGAGGCTAGTGTCACGGCCGCTGGATGTTGCAAAGACGCAAACCGAAACATTCCAAATCGCATTGAAAACTCCTGGTGCAGGACACGCGATCATTCAACTGTCGGCATTCGAAAGATGGTGTGCTGGAGATTTTCGGAAATTTTGGTGCTATGGAATCCGTAAGATTACGTCTTCGTTGCAAAGTGAGATCAAAGACCTAACGACAAGGCGCTATTAGCTGGATCTGGGAAAACAGTTCTTGCGTAGGCATCGAACCTTTTATTTTGCCACAGTCCTTCTTTGATCTCAAGAGCCTGGACTGATCAAAGCTTTGTAGATCTATTATCATCGATCATATCTCCAATCGAGTGATAGGACATCGCACCAAGGAAGTCTGTGTCTACTTTTACTTTGACTACACAAAGCACTCCGAACAGGGGATCACCAACATTTTATCTACAGTACTGTTACAACTCTTACAAAATCAGGACGTTCTTTCTCCCGAAACTCAGCGCGTCGTCAATACCTGGAAAAAGACTCGACAAGTCCCAACTGAGGAAGACTATTTCAAAATGATTGCATCACAAGCAGAATTGTTTTCCGCTGTTTATCTCGTGGTAGACGCTCTTGATGAATGTCTCGACGATCCCGTCGAAAACACTCTTGCGACCTTCCTGAGGAGATGCGAGGGCTTGCCGAAGAACTTCAGAATGGTCTTCACGTCGAGGCCGGGGTCCCATTTCTATCGAATGATTAGCCCAGACCACAAATGTGAAGTCAAGGCAGATGAAGCTGATGTTAAGGCTTACTTTGATAAGTTCATCGAGAACCACTACGACTTTCAAAAGATTGTAGAAAACGGCTGCATTGCGGATCCGTCCTTCAGAGACAAGATTATTACAGCAATTATGAAAAAGTCTCAAGGAATGTAAGACACGGGAGTAATTCAAGAATCGGATTTACTGAATCTTACTCACATTTGACACAGGTTTCTTCTTGCACATCTTCATATCGAATCCTTGGCTTCGACTCTGAGTCTCGTAGAGCTCATCAACAAACTGTCACACCTTTCAGCAAGTCCGCAGGAGGTCTATCATCAGGCAATGGACCGTATAAAGACGAATTCTGTTTCGAAGCGGATCTTAGCTATTCATGCCTTGTCCTGGGTCGTTTATGCTAAGAGAGTTCTTACTATCGATGAGCTTTTACACGCCGTCGCAGTTCGCAGTGCCCCGTCAGCATCGTTCACGGACAATGGGCCGAGGAAATATCTTCTGCCTACATCATCCAACATGTGTACGGAAGAAGTTCTTCTATCAGCCTGCATAGGCCTCATCGTCGTTAGCCCCGGGGGTTCCTCATCGGAAAGGACTGTTCGATTGGCTCATGCCACCGCAGCGGAGTTTCTCTTGGCTCAAGAGATAATCAGAGATGAGCAGGCTACCTTTCTAGAAACCAGTTTAAACTGTCTTTACCACGCCTCAAGCCAGAGATCTTGCTACTCTAAGGAAGAGCTCAATAAACACTGCAAGACGTATCCTCTCTTCCGCTACGCAGCGGCATACTGGGGATTCCACTTCTCCGAGTTGCCAAAAGTAAAGGGAAGTAGCTACAAGTTGGCCTGGGACTTTGCATCAGACCAAGTCAAGCTGGAAAATGCATTGAGAACGATGACCGACCCAAGCATCTCGCACCAGAAAAACGTTTCTGGTGGACATGTCTCTGCATACTTCGGCCTCGAAAATTTGGTCAGAAGAGCAATGTCTAAGGCCAGCAATGTTGACTTCAATGCCAGAACAAAGAGCGGAGATACCCCCTTACACTGGGCAGTAGCCCATAACCAACAAGAATTCGCGTCATTTCTGATCAATGCAGGGGCTGATATCAACATCCAAAACACCAATGGCAAGACGGCTCTACACGTGGCAACGGCAACGGACCACAGGCACTTCATCAAGATCCTAATAGATCAAAGGGCAGACCTTGAGCTTGAAGACTCAGAGGGATACACTTGTTTGCGATGGGCTGCCCGTTATGGATACCAGAGAACTGTTAACACGCTGCTGGAGGCCGGAGCAAAGATCAGCGCGTCTGACAAGGATGGATACACAGCGCTACGCTGGGCAGCCCGAGAGGGGTACAAGTCGATCGTCAAGACTCTCATCGATAGAGGCTCATCGATCGAGTCACCCGGCTCAGAGAAGTGGACGCTGCTGAGATGGGCAGCACAAGAGGGCCAAGACTACATTATCAGCCGCTTAGCTAAAAGAGGTGTCAGCTTGGATGATCCGGATTCCGAGGGACTGGCTGCTTTGAGCTGGGCTGTGAAGTACAAGCGAGAGATGACCGTGTGGAAGCTGATCAAGGGTGGTGCAGATATCAACAAGCCGGACAAGAAGGGGAATCGACCTCTTCACCTGGCTGTAGACAACACTAGCGGTGATCATGATAGGAGCTCTCTGAATATCGTCTGGATACTCTTACAGAATAAGGCCGAAATCGACGCTAGGAACAAACATGGAATGACACCTCTGCATCTAGCAGCGGCCAGAGGAACCAAATCAACCGTCTGGCTGCTACTCGAAAACGGAGCGAGCCCAACTCAAGTGGACACGAATGATCACAACGCATTATACAAGGCCGTGACTGGGCTCCATCTTGGATGCTGCCAGATACTGATACAGAAAGAGGAGAACCTTGTCAACTCTAAGGACTTGTCATGGCGTACGCCTTTGCATGAAGCGGCCTCATGGGGATCGCTCCCGATTGTGGAAATGCTCCTAAGCCACGATGCGCATATCGATGCTCAGACGCGCAAGGGTCAGACACCACTTTATCTCTCAATCCTCCAAGATCACTTTAGTGTTGCAGAGTTGCTAGTCAAGAAAGGTGCAAACTTACAGATCCTCAACACCAACAAGAGATGGACGGCTTTGCACCTTGCAGCCTGGGCAGGAAGTCTTGTTATTGTAGAGATTCTCATCAGCAATGGGGCAGACATTGACGCGCAGGATCGACAAGGGTACACCGCGCAGCATTTTGCGCTTCAGGCTGGACATGGCGGGATCGTGGATTGCCTGAGGATGAATAGATCGAATACACAGCACCCGAAGCCTGAAGGGTTGAATCCAAAGGACTTGACTGCACAAAGCACAGGGAAACCATTCACAGCGACCAACAAGTCCTTTATCTTCGAGGAAAAGAAAAGTGCTGATTCCACACAAACAGAAGAGCGTCCGTGGTGGAAAGGAGATAAACGGTTCGCGGCTACCGTGGAGGATGAGTAATCTTTGGTTATCCCTGAAAAGGACATTGATTTGAGGCTTCGGCCATGAGACTCAAAAGGAATGGATTTGATGGCATCTTGCACTTCTTACACATCAAATTGACATCAATACCAAGACTGCGATCTAGGAGGAACCAAGGAATCAGACCTTCTCCTCAACCTTAACTAGCAGATCCAGAATCTCTCTTGCAGCCTTCTCTCGACCAGCGCCCTCCGGATGCTGCTTGGCTAGTGCTCGAGCCTGTTCTTGCATTGCTTGCGCTTGGGGGCCAAGCACGACTTCAATCAGCTTTTCGGAAAGTTCTTCTCGCTCCCAGTAAGGCTTAGCCTTCCTGTTGGCCCACTTCCCAATGCCCAAGATCTCTGCCCGAATAGCGAAGTCATAGCAGTCGCCCCAGCCTGGCAGAAGGACTTGTGGTATACCAGTACTAGGTTGGCAGTCAGCGAAAGCTCTCAAGTTGAGTGAGGAGGTGCTTACCACAAAGCCTCATGGAATGAGTTGGAGCCGCCATGACTGACACAGCACACCAGATGGCCAGACTCTAGGATAGACTTCGGTTCGGCAGTAAACCAGTCCGTGATCTTGACTCTATCCTGTTTGATGAACGGACTCATGATTGCCTTGACTTCGAGCCATGGTCCAGAGCATTCCGTCGCGTTCTCATTCTCGTTCAACTTGCGCGGCATCTTCCAAAGGACTTGGAGCCTAGCTTCATCTCCAGAATCATTTTTGTGTTCTTCCGCTCGATCGAGAAGATTTCGAATCGCATGCGCGAATTCGGTCGCCTTCGGAAGATCGTAGAAATGATGCGTGCCGAGGCTGATGAAGACTGTTGGCCCTCGACTCAGCCACTCAGCAAGTTCAGGGTCTTCGATTTCAATTTTGGGGGCAGCGCGAGTGATGGGACCACATGGGGTGATGGACTCGGGGATCGTCTCGAAGGGGAAATCAATGTCGGGACTGTTGGCGACGAGGATCCGAAGGCCTTTGGGCGGTGCTTTCAGAAGGCCAAGCTCGTTCCAGGTGATGATCTCGACGCCGGGTCCAGCGTGTTTGGCGAGGTATGCCGAGACACGCTTATATCTCGAATCGGTAAAGAGTCCGTACCCGGCAACGAGGTTGAAGAAAACGTTGAGTGGGACCAAATGGAGTGGGATCGGAAATGGCAGACTGGACTGTATGCTTGGTTGCTGTTAGCTATAGACATAAGCTTGGACCCTGTATTATGTGCACTCACATGGGATACTTCCACAGCATGGCAAGCTTAGGTTGCATTGGCAATGCGAATTCTTTGATGGTATTTGGGGCTAAACAAATCCAATTGATGTTCGCTTGGTTGGCAAAGGTTGTAGCCGGCGCGAAGAATGACTCCACTACAGTCACGTCCGGCTTCACCTCCTCGAAAACTTCCTCGACAGCTTGATAAGTCACGAAGAATTCCTCTGGGCTCCATGGAAGTGCGAGCCCGGCAAGAGTGAGCATGTTGCGGGATGTATTGACAAGACCTGGCTTTGTAAGCCAAGTAGCCAAGGCTGGATTGTCCGGTCTATCCACGGCCTCGAAGTGAGAGAGGCCGATGAGTGGATGTAGCTTAACGGCGTTCCCAGCTGGAGCTCCCTCTATCTTGTTGCATTGGTCGACGAAGCGGCGGAGCTGAGAATCGAAGCCTGCTTGTGAGCCGATGTGTACTTCGACGTCGGGATTGATCTTCATCAATGCGTAGGTAGCTGAAAGAATGACATTGGCTTGGCCATAGTCTTTGTTACAGAGGAACAAGATCTTTTTCTTGGTTGATGACATCTTGAACGGTGATGTGGTCTCCGGCTGCTTGATGTACTGTATCGTATGATGTAGCTTAATCAAGCCATAGAAGAAAAGTGCTGGAGCTTTATATAAGGTAGTTTCTAGTGATAAATGGGAAAACCTTCGGTTCTCTCCTGTTGCTTCAGGGTACACACTTGCCTTCCTCCCTGGAAGAGCTTGGAAGCATGCCAAGACATCGCGGATTGTGGGCACTAATTGTTGATGCACCACTTCCAGAATGGTATGAATATCGTTTTGGTAAATCATTTGGACAAAATTAAGGATTATTGCGCTCTCCTCGCTGCATTCTGTTACACAGCCAAGCGATTCGACGTAGCTGACGTGAGATAGACCGGCATCGTGCACCTCAACGTTGCAAATCAAGCCAAACGGGCAAGGGGATGTGGACTGAAGTGAGATAGCTCCACTGCGGAAGGATTCCCGTTTGGTACCTTATCTCAATGTCCCATTCGATTTACGACGGATGCGTTCGGATGATGTCCCTAAGTGGAGTTTGTGCGACATTACAGTTTGAGTGATGTGGCGATCATCTGCCGCTCGAATGGGCGAACAATACCGGTGGGAGACATCCGGGCCGAGTTGTCACTTCTCCCAGGTCATGAACATACCATTTTTGGTCAGATATGCTGGCTTGCGGAGACTGATTGGGCATTATTACCGAATGCTGCAGTCGAAACATACTGTGAGCCTGTTAATTGGATCACAACTGCATCGAAGGCAACATTGATGCTACGCCGAGATTACTTGCGTTTTTCTGACACCTAGACTGCAGCGGATATTTGAAAATTCGTGTTCATTAGAAATGCGTGTCCTATTGCAGATCACGTCTGAATTTGGAGTGATCTCTATCTCCTTGTCCCAATAGAGCGTTGTGGGAGTCGAGTTCAGTAACAGTGTAGTGATGAACTCCAGAGGCACTCATTTCATGCTTTGGTACTTCTGCCCACATCTCGTGCTTGGGTATTGATCCACCATACAGTTCAGTTTGTGGTACATCCGACTGCAACTCCCCTGGAGCCACAGGGTGATAGTAAGCCTGGTATGCTCCATTGCCCTTTGCATGGTCAGGATATGGAGCAAGTGCAGTCGCTGCTTTGGCTGCTCGCTTCTGCTTCCGACGTTTGACGAAGCAGAACAGAGCAAGTCCGATGATGGCCCCGACGACGGCTCCAACGACAGCTCCGACAATGGCAGCTATTGGGGTGGATCCCTTGGCATCTTTGTTCTCTGCTGGATCTTGACTGGTTTCACCGGTCAAGTTTGTGTTTAACTTCCTGAACAATGCCTGAACTTCGTTGGATGACCATTGGACAGAATTGATACCACTAGATTGACGTTAGCACCTTGGCTTATGCCGTCAGCTTCCAAGTACTAGGCTCATTTTTCTTACGTTTGCTGATACCAGTCACTGACTGTCTTCGCGCTTTCGTAGTCTTTGGCGTCTGCGTCATAGTCCGTCTTCCACTTCCAGTCCGTCATATCGAAGAGACCGAATCCTTGCGGCCAGGGGTCGGCACTTGTGTATCCCGTCTTACCATCCGCTCCTCCGACTGACAGCATTTGACGGCGGCCAACTACAGCGCAGCAATGATTCCTTCTTGGATTTTTCGACTCGTAAGCAACTTGATTCCAGAAGAACCCCGGTAGGCTTAAAACGAAGACATCGTCATAAGTTGAACCTGTCTCACTGTTGGTGCCGCCGAACACAAAGCTAAAACTTCATTAGTATCAACGAGAAGTCGTACGAGATCAACGCAAATGCTCACATTTCGTAGGTTCCTTTGTTGCCCTCTACTCCCACGCTGCAGAAATTGCTGCGAGGAGTGGGCGCGTTTCCGGTTGTCTTTTGCCAGTACCAATCTCTGGTTACTGGGTCCATAAAGGTCAAGTTGCTGAAATCCTGCCATCCGAGAGGCTTCGCCTGATCAGGTTCGAGACCCCACGTTGCGCCGCCCATTATGGTGATGAGACCGTGCGGACCGAAAGTCGGGATGTAGACGGCTGAGCCTCCCGTCAAGGTGCCGTACTTGGAGAAGGCATCATTTGTCTCATTTGCCCAAGACTTCGTAGTCATGTTGTAAGACAAGATACCCGGGAGTGGCTGCGAGTAAGGGTTGGATGTCGTCCAGCCTGACGATTGTCCCCCAAACCAGAACCCAGCGTCGGGCGTACTAGCGAATGCGCCTCCCTCATTTCGACGCAATTCCTGGAAAAGTGTTGGGTTCGCGGGCGTCTCTTTTGACCATGTCCCGCCTCCTTTGCCGTCTGCTTCAAACTTCCAGGACGTGGGCTCGTCTAACGGAGCTCCAAATGGGCTATGCCCGCCCCAGATCCAGAATGTGTTCTTCTCATCGTTCTTCCACATCGCCTGTTGATCCATGGTCTTCGGTGTCTTCGGAATCTCTCTGATTTTGACGCTAGTCGCGGACCATGAAGTCGTCAAATCGATTGATAAGGTGGAGTTGACTAGTGTTCGCACCGCGTGAGAAGGTGTCGGGATTGATCGCTTCGTCGTTGAAACAACTGACCTGCGTTGGAGCCTCGCGACGTTATCGGGTTACCTCGCGCGTCGAGCTGAGAGACCTCGCCGCCATCGATGTAGGCGTAGTCGCCAAGAACCGCGACTAAACGGCTAAAATCAGTTGAATTCGATTGCCAAAAGTCTGATATCCACTACCTCTTGCTTCTGCTCGACGGAGAAAGATCTCAGGTGAGGGTACGTCTGACAGTTCCCAGGCGCGTCTCGACTGCGCATTCGAGAGGCTGGGCAGCTGCAGCACACATCCCAGCAAAACTCCCTTCACCGAAGGCTTGAGCATCATCGTTTCGCGAAATGAGAGAGTGAACAAAACAAATCACGAAACGAACAACGCGACGAAAACGCCAAAATCAACGAAAAAGTGAAGAATGAGAAGGAGAAAGTCAAGTCTCAGCCATTCAAACTCCCCGCCATGTTTGAAGGAAATGCTTCAAGAAACCAGGAAGGGAGCGGCCGCAGCGTTGGCTTCTGTTGAGGCTGATGCTGCCGAAATTAACATCAAACCCAAATCATGCTGAAAGCCTGCAAACCCATGACGCTAAATTAGAGGCGATGAGCCAAAATGCCCTGGCATTGGACAGAATGGCTTGTGAAGGATCGTTAGCGCCCTTGGCATGCTGACGGGTTTCCAAACCCTCGTCCCCTTCGTAGCCTGATGTGGCGTTGGCACATTATTCAGGAAGGCCTCGCAGCGTTGTCTCACTGTCTCTTTGATGTCCTGTCTTAGGTAACGGCCTACGTAGAGACACAGGTGATAATCTGTTGAACTGGATGACACACAATATTTCGGCTCCAACCAACTGAGCTCTGCACTTGAAAACGATCAGAGAATCTTTAGACGAAAGCCTTGTAGAAAAGCGACGGCGACGGATTAGCACAGATGACCCCCGAGGGTTTCCACATACGGACCGAACACACAGGCAACAGCTTAATCAACTTAAGGTGCAACAAGCCTTGTTCCGCCGGAGATCGTGACCGATGATGGGCCAAATCGCCCGCGGCAATACGAATAGCGAGATGATCATCCCTGTAACGCAGACCCTTGACGATTCGGGGGCTACTCCTGGGGCTGTGCGGCACCCTGCTGCTACCTCCCAGACTATTTGTTGGTTCGGCTCAGACAAAGGGAAAGTGTTCTAGTCATAATTGTTTCACAGTATTTCCGACATTGCTGTAGACAATTTGCTCACGTTCTCTCAGACCATAGAACAATAGACTATCACCGAGTACTGAATCCCAGGAATAGTCTACATAGTTCTGGCTGAGTTTGGCGGGGACAGAAAAGTCTCAATATCCGTACACGACGGAAGATTAGTGTTGGAGCCCACTGCTCCCTTTCACGGTGAATAAAGATACTGGTGCATCTAGAGACTTCGACCATGTTAGGGACATTGTGATAGCAGCCGTTATAAAGAGTAACTATTGTGAGAACATCCTGATATTAGTCTTAAAAGACCTACCACAGCATTGACTATCTGCCCTTCACCATCAGCTGCAATCAATGTCGTCAAAAACCTTTTCATAGGCAAAGCCCAGACGATGGCTGGCTCCAAGCATGCGAAAGTCCTAGCTGAAGCAGAAGTGCCAAAGTCCGTCGAGAGTGCGCTTCTACGACCAGCTAAGAGTCCGGCGCCGGAGGAGACGCCAAAGAAAGGCACTCAACAGGAGTCAAATAAAAGTACCGCGCACAAGTACGTTTCGTTTCCCCCATTCCCTGGCAAGGCGAATGACGAGAAGTTGCCGGATGCTCAAAAGGAACAACAGCCAGTAGAGGCAGAGTCTCTGAAGGAAATTCAAAAGCAACAACCGTCTGTAGGAGTGGAATCAAGCCAGCAAGAGCCACTCAATGAGCCGAAGCCGCGGCCACGCAGGGCTTCTCATTTATGGTTTTGGCACGGAAAATAAGGTAGTTCAATAGAGGCCGCCGAAATTTCAATCAAGAAATCTGTGACGCGAGATAAGACTCATTCCGACGCGTTTATATGCCAGTAGGGGAAGACAAAAACGTATATTCTTACGTCAAGAATCAACTGAAATAGTTTACTTTACCTATGAATTTGCCTTCACTACGAGTGTGTATTCGAATCCAGGAGCCAGACGTAAACTCACCCGCAGCACTGACAACACAACTTAAGTGGCCATTTGCCAGACAAACTTCCAAGTTCCAACTCTAATCTGCACTAAACGTCTTGATCTATTCAGCTTGATTGGGACTCGGCCATCTTCCCGAATGAAGATCAGAGCCAACAGTGGTTCCATGGAATAACGACAAGAGCTTTCCCACTCAAAAACTAGCTCAAAGTGAACTTTAATTCGTCCAGAGGGAGTCAATTTAGGTAACAATCTATGGGGTTAATTCGGTCACCTTTTGCTGCGCACCTAGTCTTGCCTAGTCGAATGTCGATGAACGGCGCCAAAGATTGACGCTTGAGCCATCGAGCGAGCCGCGAGGCGAGCCGTAACTGACTATTTATCCTGAAGCCGCGGAAAATTCTCGCCCATACAAAACAGACCAGTGTGTCACGACGATTCATGGCTTTGCCCCTAAGTAGGTAAACCCGAAACTCGGCCGGGAAGAGAGTCAGAGGACGAGTGACGGATGGGAATAATCTAAGAGATAGAAACTCGGCACGATTGAAACCTCACACACAGTTATAATATGATCTATCTTCCTGCCGATATGATTGAATAAGCTCAACATTCAACACAAGCTAATCAGTTGCTGTGCAACTCTATACTGCAATACTTATCCTTTAATTCGCGTGTACTTCTTGTTCGCAACCAAGGAGCACAATGTGGTTGTCTTTTACGGTTACAATGAAACTGTTGGTCACGAATCTATGCCTAGTCCAGGCCATTCAATGTCTAAAGACGGTCGAGGTCCCCTTCACCCGCATGAACGACCCTAACAGCAATTTCGTTGCATCGATGCAAATCTCGATTGGATCTCCGCCACAACAAGTTATGGCGATCTTCGACACGGGAAGCAGTGATCTCTGGGTTCCTCAGCTTAACAGCCGCCTGTGCAAAGAGCGCCTGGCAACATGCACTGCCAGCAACAACAAGAACTATAGCGTCTCAGGTGCATTTGACAACGCAAAATCGACTACCTTCAATCCCAATCGGTCTCCATTCGAGGCTACGTACGCGAATGGTGTTGAAGTTCAGGGAACCTTCATGTCAGAATCAGTCACTGTCGGGAACACATCCGTCTCGAATAACACAATGGGATTGGGTCAGACCGGCAAACTGACATCGCCTCTAATTGCTATCCTGGGTGTTGGCCCCTCGAGCTCAGAGGCGTCCGTTCTCGCCAATAATGCCAAGCCATACACAAACTTTCCGGAAAATCTCAAGGCACAGGGGCTTACCAAGTCGTTGGCCTACAGTGTATACTTGAATGATTTCAGTTAGTTTCCAGATCTCGATCCTACATGTACGCTTGAAATTTGCTGACATCGCCAAGGGTCGCCTACTGGAAGCGTCGTGTTTGGCGGGATGGACACTGCCAAGTTCACAGGTCAAATGCAGATGGTCCCTCTCATTGGACAGAAGCTGTTCAAATCGAATGACTTTATCGTGCCTTGGACTTCCTTCTCCTTCTCGGCAGACAAGAATGCCAAACCAACTGTAATTGGAGGAAACAACTTCCCGCCCGCCCTCATTGATACTGGCAACCCGTCCTTATCCTTCCCACCAAAGATCTTGGATCAAATCGGACCGGCTATCAAGGTCCAAACACTACAGGATGGAACGAACGCATTAAAATGCAGCAGCGGCGATTTGGGTGCCAAGTTCAACTTCGAGTTCCAGACGGCCAAGGTCGAGGTCCCTCTGTCGATGATCTTTATCCCCCTCATGAAGAACGGGGCACCCGTAACCGACAAGAGCGGTAATCCCCTGTGCACACTTCCGTTGGAGCCCATTGACAGCAACGTAGCGTCTTTTGGTGCTCCTATGCTCTCGGCGGTGTACACAGTATTTGATCTTGAGAATAAACAGCTCGGGATGGCACAGGCTAAACTCAACGAGTCTGTGACAAACATCCAGGAATTTGGGCCGGCCAGCTCATCGAAGGGAACAGCCAAACGGTCACTAGCGCAAAGCGTGCGTTTCCGACAGAAGTGATCGCAAAACCATTGCATGTTGATATATCGACTTGCTTGTTGGCTGGTTTCACAAGCTCTTCCTATTTTCGCATTTCTTACTATTATTGTAGAGAGCCATTTGAGCGTGCAATTGTAGCACTTGCAAGACAAAACGATGTAACTCACAAATCACGAAATCTTTTCAATGTTGTTGACATGAGAGATGTCGGTGAGTCACGTAGTCCAACAACCTTGGGAAAACAGGGAAAGTTCAAATTCCTAGGTTTCTAGACCCAGAAAAATCACGCACTGACTGGCCTTGCTTGCGCGATAACTTATCAGCCTTCTCCATAATAGTGTCGAAATCCACAGATAAATACGGAGTTGTTGTCTTGCAGCTCCTTGCACCACCAAATCGGAGCTTGGCCTCGGGAACCACACGGACTAGTGAGCGGGTACGCAATGCAACATGTAGATCAACTTGATACGGGATGCAGAAGCAACCGCGCTGGCGTCCGGTTTTTGGTGGATCAATGAGAGGCAAACAAAAACATCAGACCTCGTACGAAGGCATCGTCATTTTGACAGAGAAATTTTGTCCCTACACTTCCTCTTCCTCGTCAACAGCTTGTCCCTACGCCTCTGGCATATTATATCAGCCTCTGTCAGGCGATAAACCCGCAGGTCTCTCTTGACATCAGATTCAACCAGCTTGCTGTAAAATAAACGCGCGAGGATATGTCTCCCGCGTCGTCAATTCACGATCCAGGCGAAAGCCAGCCGCTCCTCTCAAGGCATCGACGGCGCACTGGCACATTTCAACTGCCATCGTTCAATGGTCAGCGACTCGTGTCGCCTCTGTCTATGCGACGTGCCTCCCTGCAGGAGGTTCATCCACACCACGAAGACGTCGAGCCAGTACTGCCGGCCGCGCCAGTCGCCGCCCACCAGGAGACACGCCTACACAAGCCGCAATGGGCGCTCAGTGACAGGCCACCAAACACCTGGGCCCAAATTCGTCATTCCTGGCGGGAGGAATTTGCGTAAGTACCGGATCAACGGTCCTATCCATCTTTATATCACATCAATCGCGGACATGGTTCCCCACCGGAGGTCCCCCCGCCGGGATCACTCACGGCAATGAAGCTCTTAGATTTAAGGTAGTCCGATGCTGACCGCATACATACGTAGTGAATTCTGGGGTACCTTCATGATCTTGCTCTTTGGAGCAGGTGTCGAATGCGAGACCCGCCTGAACTACCAGTCGGCCGACATTCGCGAGAATGCCGGTGACTTCTTGCAGTGCCGTCTAGCCTGGGCAGCCGGCGTAGCTATGGCCGTTTGGATGTCCGGTGGCGTATCAGGTGGACACTGCAACCCAACTGTGACAGTCGTCCTCGCCCTCTTTCGCGGTTTCCCCTGGCGCAAGGTGCCTAGCTTCTTGGCCGCGCAGGTCCTGGGTGCCACCTTCGCCAGTCTTGCCGTCTATCTGAACTATTCTACCAGCATCGCAGAGTACGAGGGCGGTGCTGCCCGCACTCTGATCGGCGAACATGCCACTGCCGGTCTCTTCTTTACCTTTCCCAAGTCCGGGCTTCCTTATGCCGGCGCCTTTTACACCGAGTTCCTTGCCTCGGCCGTCCTGGTGGCCATTGTATTTGCCCTAGCCGACAAGAATAATCTATCGCCGCCCAAGGGCACGCAACCCTTTGCCATGTTCTTGGCTCTGTTGGCCATCGGCTCCGCCTTGGGCATCAACACTGGATACGCCATGAACGGTGCCAGAGATACCGGCCCGCGTATTGCGTTGGCCATCGTTGGATATGGCTCAGATGTCTTCACTCATGACACCTACTATTGGCTGTGGGCTCCCTGGGCTGCTGCTATTGTTGGTGGTGTTGCGGGTGCTTGCGTGTATGACGGATTTATCTACACGGGGCGTGACTCTCCGTTCAACATCCCGAGGAAGGAAGACGACTGAACGACGTAATATGAGGGTCATGTTGATCCTTAGAACTCGAGTCTAATGGGGCAGCATAAGGTCGTATGGGAATTTTCCTCCGATCACGAGTTATACAAGAGGTATGTGGGATGAGGTTTTAGCTAGCTGCAGATTGGCTATCACCTCAGATAGGATAGAAATAGACTAGACGTAAGACATCAACGGCAATTCTTGGAATAGGCGTCAAGGGAAGTCGATCAAAGGCGTGTAAAATGAGAAATTATTTTGCCATGTTGGTCACTGACAAATGACCATGTCGTCAGAACAATAGGTATTTAGCAAATGAGGCAGATAATCTACTTTCTCCAGTTCCCTTGCACTTTGTCCCGGAATTTCAAGGCGTGCAGCAAGACTTCGCATGTTGTTTGGGCCAGCTCCGGCTTGCTCGTGCTAAATGCGTGTCGCCCGGTGGAGAGCCTTTCACAACAGTACCCAACTTCACCTCATAGTGAGATCTATTCATACAGTTAATTCGAAACCTGTTTCGTCCTCAATGGCACAACCGAACATGACACCCGCTCAACCGTTTGCTCTTCAACCTTTACTCGGTTATTGTAGTTGAGCTTAGTAAGTCTCTAACATGAGGCCAACGAAGTGTTCCATCACGACTAGCTACTCCCATTGCGTCTACTACCTCACTACCAATCGGTATTTGGCGGTTACACAAATGCCAAGTCGGGGAAATTTTGGCGCTATGGCGATCAGTCCGGAAAGAGGAGAAGTCTGGGGAAACCGAGATCATCACGCACTTCGATGGAACCCTGCGCGAGTGTTAGGAGAAGTGCACCCGGAACCGAGGGACCGCAATTGGTGCGCATCACATGCGATCCGCCGGCTGAATGCAAAGCTTTCGAAAACGTTCGCGAACAATCTTAATTCGGCCCCGGAGCCGCAAAACCCGTTTATGTTCAGGTCTGCAGGGGAATTGTAGCACAGGACCATCCTCTTCAAATTACTTTCGGCAATATGGGAAGTAGTATTGGAGTCGGTAAACCATGCGGCACAAACGGCAGTCTGCATGGAGCATAGTCCAGTTTCACTTTTGTTAACCCACGAATGCCAGATTGATTAGATTCGTATCCCAGTGCGACTCTCTCGGACTCTCTCGCATTGGCGAGCAACTGCCGGTCTGCAACTAGGGGAAACTGGCTTGCTATGAACGGCTAGATAGCCAATCACTACCAAGTAAGAGTACAAACATTTCTCTTAAATATAAAGATCGGACGACTGCCAACTCTTTCTAGTCAAGGAGCTCTTTCTATAGAGACCCAAGCTTCTTACACCAATTGTACATACCTATCTACTGCACAAAGCCCAGATGATGCTGAAAGCCAACGCGGGCGTGGTTTCAACCACCCTACTGCTTCTCGCATCCGTGACGAATATCATCGCCCAGACATGCGACCTCCCGTCTACCTACCGCTGGACGTCGACAGGCGAGCTGGCTACCCCCAAATCCGGATGGGCCTCGCTCAAAGACTTCACCACCGTCACTTACAACGGTCAGCACCTTGTATACGCGTCGACCCATGACCAAGGTTCAACCTGGGGCTCGATGAACTTTGGCCTCTTTTCCGACTGGTCTCAAATGGGTGCGGCGTCTCAAAATGCAATGACCCAGTCCGCCGTCGCGCCCACCATTTTCTACTTCCGGCCCAAGAACATCTGGGTTCTCGCCTACCAATGGGGTCCGACCCAGTTCTCTTACAAGACGTCGAGCGATCCCTCTATTGCGAACGGGTGGTCCGCGGCGCAGCCTATGTTCTCCGGAACCATCTCTGACTCCAGCACCGGCCCCATCGACCAGACGCTCATTGGCGACACGACCAACATGTACCTATTCTTCGCAGGCGACAATGGCAAGATCTACCGCTCTAGCATGCCCATCGGAAACTTCCCGGGTAACTTTGGCACCGCCTCGACGGTTGCTATGAGCGACACGACCAACAACCTCTTCGAGGCTGTCCAAGTGTACACCGTCAAGGGCAAGCAGCAGTACCTCATGATCGTCGAGGCTATCGGCGCCAATGGCCGCTACTTCCGCTCTTTCACGGCTACCAGTCTCGGCGGAGCGTGGACGGCCCAGGCCGCGACCGAGAGCAACCCCTTTGCTGGCAAGGCCAACAGCGGTGCTACCTGGACCAACGACATCAGCCACGGTGACTTGGTTCGCAGTGACCCCGACCAGACCATGACTATCGACCCGTGCAACCTTCAACTGCTTTACCAGGGACGGTCCCCTAGTTCCAGCGGCGACTACGGCCTGCTGCCCTACCGCCCGGCAGTTCTCACGCTGCAGCGATAGAACTCCTCCGCTGGGCTTCAACCTACTGGACATCTGTGGCATCAAAGTTGACACCATGAACTATTTATGAGTCCTCCCCTTGCTCAGTAGGGAGTCAGACAGCCAATTAAGAAATTTGTGTACGAAGTTAGTCTAGGAGAGTGTTTGCGCATCGAGGGGCTTCCCTTTCACATGTAAATATTGATCAAACATGTAACACATCTAGGCTAGGAGACCTTCACAGATGGTCTGCCGTTGAACATAAAATTATTATCACCATGCTTTCATGCTTTCGCCTCAAGTTTGCTAGTGACTTTAGGTTCCACTTCAGTCAGTGGTTCTCCTGTACTCAAGCCTGCGACGGCTTTACCGCATCAAGATCACGCGACTATGTAGCATTGGCTGCGAAGCTTTACATCTCTGACTTTGCGTCTCTGAGGTGTCACATATAAGGGATACAAAATGGGCTTTGGGAGGTGAAGAATGTTCAGACATGCGGTCCGTGTAATAAAGGATGCGAGCTCTACTCATACAAACAGGCAGGAAACTAGTATAGTATGCCGCAAGTCAATGGACTTCGTGGTACTGATACGGCGAAAAAGCCGACAGCTGGTCATACCCGTTGCATTAACTATGCATCGTCGGCTGAAGTACGCATCAAGTAAGCAGGTCGAAAAGCCTTGGCAAATCTGTTGGTTACATACCTACTTACGCTCATACGCAGTTCCTGGTCTCTGGCGAACCACGACGCCTAAACAGGGGGCATCTCCTTACACTTACCCCGCACTCGAGATGAGAGACGTCAGATTGTCGCTTGGAAAAAGTCCTTGCTAACGCCTCCTGAATTGCTCAACTCATACAGGCTACAGCCGCCCCGTCAAGCTTTCCCAACGTCCCTCAGTCAGCTTACTAGATCGCAAAGTGGTCGGATTGGTATCATGAGGCTATTAAATACAACTACATTTGAATTGCGAGAGTTCTCCGGCACAGACATACCTCCGTACGGCATTCTGTCCCACACTTGGGGGCGCAACGAGTTCACATTCAAAGATTTCCAACGAGCTGGATACCGCGGTGGAATCACGAAAATTGATGGCATGTGTCGTGTCGCTCGAGACCAAAGATTTTCTTGGGTCTGGATAGACACTTGCTGCATAGACAAGAGCAGCAGCACAGAGCTATCTGAGGCTATCAATTCTATGTTTGCATGGTACAGACAGGCTGCAACATGCTTTGTTTACCTCGAAGATGTTCCCGGGGGTTATAAGTTTAATCCTAAAGACAAGACCTTTGCCAACAGTCGATGGTTTAGTCGCGGTTGGACCTTGCAGGAGTTGTTGGCATCGACCACGGTATTCTTTTACGACTGGTCCTGGAACTTCGTGGAGTGGATTGAGAAGTCCGGTGACACTGACGGTAGAACCCATCCTTCCAACATGATACTAGGGAAAAGGAAGATAAGTCAAGTCTATAACGAGAGCTTCGACATAAATTCCAACATGAATAATTTCGCCTCGGCTCTCGGCAGTATAACGAACATAAACCTGATTGCGTTAACCAGAAAATTCGAAGATGTCCATCAGTCCTTCTCAGTGGCGGAGAAGATGAGTTGGGCATCGAGAAGAGAGACAACCCGCTTAGAGGATAAGGCCTACTCTCTCATGGGCCTGTTTGATGTGAATATGCCGTTGCTATACGGAGAAGGTGAAAAGGCTTTCTTTAGGCTTCAGGAAGAAATCATCAAGAAGACTGATGACGAGTCGATATTTTCTTGGGGCTACGGAGAACCTGCTCGGTTCGAAGGGGTATTGTTTGCCAGATCTCCGGCTGACTTCCTCGGATGCCGGAATGTCACAATGGTCGAGACCGCGGGCAACACCCCGCACTACTATTTAACGAACAAAGGTCTACATATTCAGACACGATTTTCAAGTGCACAACGAAGGATGGGAAATTTCATCTACGCCATGATACATTGCACGGACAGATATTTAACTTCAGGGAAGAACTGTATAGCTATCCCCCTCTACTATGTGGGCAACCTCATCATCCGACCACCTGGCGCCGTACCTCTGTTGATTGACGAAGCCGACCTCGGCAAGGAAGCTATCTATCTTTACATCCACGTTTCCAGAAGTTTCGAGAGCTTTAAAACAGACTTTCCGATGCCGGGACATATGTTAAGACGGGTGGAAAAGTCTACAACAGTTCAATTTACTAGCGCCCCAGGCAATATCAAGCTTGCTGAGGTGTACCCACCCAGCTGGTATCCGCTGTGTACGACGTCAAAGTCACTGATAGTAGTACAAGACTTGGCGTCACCAACGACATCCGCCATTGTCTGGCTGAGGTTTTGGGACCTATCCTCTGGTCTCGATTTCGCCTTACGACTGGATTTAGAGTGGGAGTTGGTACCTTCTCAGAGACCAGATCAGCTTGGGCTAGCGCTGGTGTCCGTACGCCCACTTGTCAAACTCATACGGCAGGACATGTATCTATTCGACAAGGTCTTTCATAATGGGCTATCTATATCGGAGTGGGAAGAGGAGATAGCCTGGGGCGACGGTCAGCTGGGTGCCTCCTGGGCCCAGGACGAATTCGATTCCAACATTCGATTAACATTGCCTCCTTCAAAGGGGGATACGCTTCTGACAAAGAAGTCTCTCTCAGCCGATGAGGCAAGAAGAAAAGTAAG